TGGTTACTGTAATGGTTACTGCCTTCTAGTAACTACAGTGTAATGTACAAGGTCAGACAATTAAGTAATGAGACTGATTTTATTATGGCCACAACAAAAGTGCCACCTATGAAGCAAAGCATGGAATCTAAAGAGGCAACATTCATCTATGATCTGGCAACTTCTCATCGCCACTTGATAAGCAGACAACAAACAAGCCGCCATTTTGTTGACTTTGTCAGAGGTGTATTGTTACGTAATCAGCACGGAGCAAAAAGCTAACAATAAATTCTTTTTTAAAACTCAGAAAAAGCGCCATTGAAACAGCTGAATTGATGCAACAAGTGTATGGGGATGATTGTTTATCTCGTGCACAAATATTCAGGTGGTATTCATGATTCAAAAGTGGTGTGGAAATGATTACTAATGCACCTAGACCTGGATGACAAATTTGTGTTCGTAATGATGAACTCATTGCAAAAGTCAGAGATTGGATACAAGAAGATCATTGTTTTACTGTGACGATGATGGCTGATGAATCTGGTGTTTACAGAGAGACCATTCATAACATTTTAGTGCAAGATTTTGGCAAGAAAAAAGTTGCTTGCCGGTTTGTACCACATTCGTTGTCTGATGACCAAAAACATCAGCAGGTTGAGTACCCAAGAGACATCATCAAAACAAGAATTGTTGACCCCAAAACAAGTGTGCGTTCTCAGCCTTTCACCCTATTCCCCAGATTTGTCTTCCTGTGATTATTTTCTATTCCCAAAATTAAAGTTACGATTGAAAGGACGCTTCTTTAACGATATTGATGACATCCAAAGGGTCGTAACATCGACTTTAAGGGCCATAACAACAGAACTACAGAGGTCATTACAGTGTTTGAAAGATCGTGCCACTTGCTGTATTAATGCACAAGGGGCTTACTTTGAATCAGATGCAGGTTATATCTTTAACTGTTGAGTATTTTAATTTTTATGGAATTAGTCTCATTACTTAATTGTCGGACCTTGTATTTTCTTATTCTACATTTCTTATTCCATGTGTGCAGTTTAAAAAAAAATGTTGTTACTGCTAATTTTTCTGCTTAGGTGGTATACTTACAGTTTTGGTGAATTGGAAAATAATATTCTTCTTTTTATTTTTCTCTTTGTTCATATTACTAGGTAATTCCCACATTTGTGATTTATTCACAAACATCTTCAGAACATTTGATATCAAACAGGAGTAGCCATTGTACTTTGATCTGCATTTTAAACCTTTAGACATGCAGACCAGGTAAGGATAATGTGTGTTTTGTTTTGTCATTAATTTTGCCCCTGTAAAGCTAACATTTTACACTTTTTATTATTGATGATTTATTCATTCTAATGTTACAACTTTGTTGTTTTACATTCATTTTTTTATTTCAGGAGTTCTCTAGAAAGGGGGGGGGGGGGGGGGGGTGACAGAACCACTGCTTCTTACCAACAACAACAAATGTTAGTTGCATATCCTTTACAGAAACTGCAGCATAGTAGGGAACTGTAGCCTAGTATGCAAACTGATCTTTTAAGGGTAAATGAAAAATAAAAAAAGGTTGATTACTTGAGATACAGAAAGTTAAAGACGATTACCATTTAATGGACAGACGATAGCAAGTTATTATTCTACACCTTAGAACAGGACACAATCGGCTTCACAGCCACATGTACGCAGAATTTAACATTGGCAAATCAGCCAAGTGCACATGTGGATTGGCACCTGAGACAACAGATTATGTCCTCTAAGGCAGTCCCAAATACAACATATCAAGGCAAAACTTTTGGCCAAGAGAAACATTGGTTCAAGTCAAACTTTACAGGTTGCTGAGTGAATTACAAAAGACAGTGAGTTCATACTAGAGACAACATTGCAGATATAGATAATCTATTTCAGGCGAATGAAAGAAGAAGAAGGAGAAGATAGTTAAAATGGATCGTGGATAAATTATAAAAATTTTTGGAAACCTGAGAATAATAGTTTTAAAAAGAAAAAAAAAAAAAAAAAAAAAAAAAAAAAAAAAAAAAAAAATATATATATATATATATATATGTATATATATATATATATATATATATATATATATATATATATATATATATATATATATATATATATATATATATATATATATATATATATATATATATATATATATATATATATATATCCCTATATATATATATAGGCAACAAGAAGAAGCTATAGAAATTGACAACCAAGTGGGGATGTTTCAAACAAGGTGTTAGGCAGTGCACTGTGCACTGTCACCTAGTTTATTCAGTCTTTCAGTGAAATAATAATGAGATCCATGCATGATATGCATGAATATAGACTGGTGGGCATGTTATGAATAACCTGTGATATGCTAACAATAGTTTTCATAGCTGAAAATGAAACAACTGCAAGAAATGATTGTCAAAATTTAACAGAAAGTCACAATAAGGGTCTTTGTGTGGACAGCAAAAAAACATAAGTAATAATAACTAAAAAAAGAAAATGGACCGTCCAGAAGGTAACATCAGTGTAAATGGGGACAAACCTCAAGCAAGTTGATATATTTAAGTACTTGGATACCCTAATAATAGCATATGAAAGATGTATTAAAGATGTTAAGTGTATAAAAGCTCAAGCAAAGGCAGCAGGGAGAAAGAATTTTCAAGAGCTATAAAAATCCTGTCCTGTTATACGGAAGTGAATCATGGACATGTGGATAATTAGCAAAAATATGTTGAAGCAGTGGAGAAGTGGTTTTACAGATGAGTGATAACACCCTAGGAGATGAAAAGATTAGTGAAGATGTCTTGAAAGAAACTGGCTCACAAAGAGAACTGATTGCATACTTTCTTTGGACATGTCATTCATGAGAAAGAGAAAACCAGAGTACATCTTGATGATCTAAAATTTGGAGGGCAAAAGAGGCAGAGGGAGACAGAGAAGATGGTAGACAATTTGACATTGTGGCATAGAAGATCATCTGTATCAGAAGTGATTGACAGTACACAAGACAGAAGGTTGTGGATAGACAGCACTACCAATGTCACATGGCATGGACTATAAGTAGAAGATGATCAACATATGCTCACCATATCCTTGCCTGTCACCACGCCAATCAGTGAATGACCCTTGGTCAAGAAAATAAAAAGTAAAAAATAATGTGTCGTCTTCATCAATAAAGTTTGGCTACAGTGCTTTTATTGATGTTGTTGGGAGTTTCATGTGGTGAGGCCTCATTTCTTGCACAGCAAAAACACTGATAAGAGCTATAAACAAAGAGACTTGGTTGAACAGATGGGCCATGGGAGACACTGGAAGAGAGGTTTATAGACATATGTCTGGCCCTGATCCTAATGACAACATTAACCATCTAACAAGAAGGGACCAGGCCACCATCTTCAGACTTAGAACGCAACATACTCCACTCAATGGACACCTAAGCAGAATACAGCCACAACACTCCCCAGAGTGCCAGCTATGTAACTACCCCTACGAAACTGTTGAACACCATCTCTTTGAGTGCCCAAAACTCAGTGAGACAAGAAGAACGCTACTCCCTCTGAGACCAGACAAGTGGAACACCTTGTACGGAGGAAAAGCACCTTGTGAAAACATGCAAATTCCACTACATGGCATTGGGCCAAAGGGCGAAAGCTCATGCGCCGCTGGATCGATAACAACAACAACAACTTGCACAGTGTGTGATAGTGTTTAAAAACCATGAGAATGGTTTTAAATAAAATTAACCATCTCTGCAGAAGAGATCATGAAATTGTTAAATGTATTCACTAACCTTTAAATCACAAATATAAGCCATATCCATAACTCCAATAAAATGTAGTGGTACAGAATTAAGGTAAATTTTTTTGCTTGAACTGTTTGATATTTGTGGAATAGGTTACATTTACTGGCACAATATTTATAATGTACTTCACGAAGTCACAATGATGTCACGGGAGACATCCCAATAAATTCCAGGGTGTTGAGGTTGGGGTTTTTCCCATCCAAGTTCGCATCGCAAAAAGGGCGCTCTTGCAAAGCACGAGCTTGACTACGACGTGTGTTTACCAACTAGGCTATACAGTCACAGTTGGAATGTTCTAAAAACATGACTAGTATTGTAGACCAGCCAATTGCCCATCAACAAGCAGCCGATTTCGCACCAACAGACAGAAATATGTCACACCATAAGACACTAGATGAACACTCAACAACAGCAGCACACTTGCACTCCTTGAAAAAGTGGACTGTCAAGTCAGCTGTGGAATTCCCACAGATTCCCTGTGTTTGGGGTACGTTACAAATATTGTACCACTTTTTTCTTTTTTAAAGTTTATTCTTTAGTTTCGTTCAACTTTGAGGGTGGTGTTGACTCAGTTCCTACTTAATACGCTGTATAAGAAACTGTCTTGTGGATCATGTTCTGAGGTTTATACGTACAGCTACGTGGGCACAGTGGTAAACTAATTTCGCAGTTAATTAATTTCATTCAGTGCGTTCCATGGTGCCATTAGGGATAAAAGAATGAACTGCTACCCCTCCAAAAGTATGCCATAGAACGCAAATAATAAGGGGCATTTCCTTATAACTTGGAGTGCATCTGCCTGCGAGGTGAGAAACCAACAGTCTGGTTTGCCAGAAATAAGCTAGATTAAACAGATGTGCACACAACACTCAAGTCCTGAAACAGACCAAAGTCCAAAAGTGGATGAACAAACAGAACTTTGCGCCAGAGTTTGCAGTCGGTGAATGCTAAGATGAGCAGCTGGCCGAACAGTCAGTGAGGCACTCATATGGGGGTCCCAGGTTCAAATCCTTTGTAAGGGTTTGGATTTTTTTCCTGCAGAAGGTTAAAAAATAAAATCCTTACCTGCACAGCCTGTGGCGACATCACTAGCCATGCGGTCCTAAATCCTCAGGTTCAAAGACCCTCTGTGTGCACTACAGCAGTGGCAAATACAGACAGAATTGGCATTTTTTTTTTTTTAGTGCTATGAAGAATGGAAGAAGAAGTTAATTTATTTCTTCATTCCTTTCTCATCAGCTCTTCAGACAACAGCGAATCAGCTGAGTCTTTGCCGGGTTACTTGCAGCAGTTAGTTTCAGGGAATTACGCAACTCTTGGTGTTGGAGCGCTGACTCTTGCTGGTGTTGCTGCAACATATTATTTACAGTCCACATCTACAAAGCCAATTGAACCCGTGGTTGATCTGAACAACCAATCGGTTATTATAGATGGCAAGGTAAGAGGTCTGATTTAGTCTAGGTTGATTAGTTTAATCGTCGTCATGATCATATGCCACGCAGATAAGTGTAGGCTGTCATATTTTGCCATCTCATATGATCGCCAGAATTCCAGGTCAGGTTGGTATTTTTGTGTCGCCCCATTCAAATGACTAAGCCATCCACATTTTTTTTCTTTTGACCTTTCCTTTGCTCTCTTTTCATTAACCTTGCCAGTCATTACAAAATTATGGAGTCCATTACTTCTCATAACATGTAGTGCAATCATGATTATTTGTAGCATCATAAAGAAAGCAATTTGCCATTGCTTCCTTCTTAGTAATGGCTATACTGGTCGAGTGACAGTAGCCATTGTTACCTTGATGTGATTCTCTGTTTACCTTGGAGGGACTTGAGACTAGGACCAACAGTTATCTGTTGGCTGCTATCAAGGTAAATCCACCACCTGCTTCCATGGTTTCAGTTTACCTTGAAGGGAGGAGCTGAGCAGGTACCCCACCATGCTTTAAAGTGTCCCAAAGGCTAGCAGAGGGGAGTAGGCCCCCATCTCTTATAATTGAAGACACCCCTATCCCGCTTGACATTGATTTTCGTTCCAAATTATGTTCTTTTTGTAAATATTACCCTATTAAAAAGCCTTTTTTTAATGTGTGGGGGTTGCCGTTAATTTGCCTCTATAAAATGGGGTCATAAATTGAAAAAAGAAAAGGTTTTGAGCCACCGAGGTAGCCAGTCTTGGATGTATTTATGTCCTCATTGCATTTGTTTCCATTTTCAGCACCTGCTTTTTGATTTTCTGTCCTCTTATCCATGAGATGTACCCAATTTATCACCATCTTCTTTGACTGCCACATGCACACATGTGTGAGATCAAATGGATAGTCTGCCGATGATGACAAATTATTTGGAAACTGCAGAGATATCTGGTAGTCTGGTAGTCTTAGTTTCAGCTTCATAGCAAACGGGTCACCCCATCTTTGCTCCGCTCCTGTGCCAACGAAAAACACACAGAATGTTTATCACAGTATTAGAATTGTAGTTCATCATTGATGGTAGCAGAAGTCGCCAACAGATCAGCAGTTGCCCACGCGATCAATTTTAATCACATTCGGGCACCACTACACTGCACGACAGGCATCGCGCCATTTTCTGAATCTACAATTCACACCAACACGTTGGTCACAGTCGAAAAAACATTCCAAATGCAATCCACAGCTCACAGGGTCATGTCATACATTCAACTCAGAAGCTGGGTGGAGCAAAAATGCATCGGCCACCGTCCGACAGAAGCAAAAAAATTGCCTCTGTTTCGAACAGTGCCGCTGCCTAACGCCCATTTTGACCTGACTGCAGAGATATGGTTCTATGTAAGAATTACGATAATAACATGGACATATAAAAAACATGATGAAGGTATCTTAAGAAAAAAATAACCCACGAAGAGAACTGATTTCCTTTATCATAAGTAGACATATTGTATTACTTATGCATGTCATTACAAGGCAAGGAATGGAATATGTTATGACAACAGGAAAGTTGAAGGGGAAGAGAGGCACAGGAAGCCTAGGAAAGAAGATTTTGGTCAGTTTGATGTCATGGCATGGAAGAACAATTGTGTCAGAAATGATTGACAGTACTTGAGACAAAACACTGGGGTCAGACCTGATTGCCAATATCAAACATCATGGACTATAACAAGAAACTATTTTTATGTATACCATTCATTTTCATGTCATTAATGTAATAAACAAATAATAGTGATGATACTTCACATCCCCTGAAATATTACACTTCACCTGAAGTGGCTAACTTGTATTCTTTAGGACAACTTATGCCTCACATATTTTCTCTTAGAGAACACAATAAGGACCATGGAGTAAGAGTAATATTCTGTAACAGCAGATAGTATCAGTAAAAAGCTTCAGTATCTTATTATCCTTTCTATTGACATAATAAGGATTAATAATATTTTATTGCAACAAACATTTCTTTCTTGTGATTCTGCCTTCTGTCCTCTAATAGAACATAAGTACTCAACTAGCTTAACCGAAACAATTCTATCCGTTGCCGTTTCCTGCCACTCCCTCTATCTCCTATCCAAATTGTTTGTTGTTGTGTTGGCTTTAGTAAATTAATTGATGTTTATTCATAGAAATGGACTAACTATGTGTGGGAGCCAGATGTTGATACTTTTGGTATTATCTATCCATATTTGTTTATGAGTTGTTTGCATGATGTGAATGTTAGTCTTTTTGGGGGTTTTGTTTTGGCAGTCACTTATACTTCTTTTTCCTACTGGCACCACCTCCTCCTCCCAACTTCTTCTTCTTCTTCTCCTCCTCTTCCTCCTTCTCCATTTATTGTCTTAGCCAGACTAGGAAGCTTCCTGCCTTGTTTCAGCAGATCACAGCTTGCTGAACTGACAATGAAAATTGTTGCTTACAAGTTATAACAAGTGTAACAATTTATGTGATGGTGTTATTAATCCCAACTAGTCTTTACATGTTGCATTTCTTTGTTATTTAAAATTTAAAAAAAAAAAAAGGTTTTTGTAAATTGACTACTTCTCTTCTAGATGTACAGTTCTGTTAATAATTTTAAAAAGAACTAAGAAAAGGTGAGGACATTAATTAGATTTGTATACTGAATGTTATATGAAGTCATCAGTTTGTGTTGAAAGTGACCTGCTACAGACCCAAACCAAATCTTGAAATGAATGATACATGTGCTGAGATGAATTTATGAGAAAAAAATTTCCTGGATCATGGTCTGATGGGGGGGGGGGGGGGGGGGGGTGTTGCATTCAGGAAGGAAAACAGGGACAATGGAGAAACTGATTATAGAGCAAACAAACGAACCAGCTTTATTTTCACAGGGTCACAAACTGGACATGTAGACCTGTCGTACATTCAGCCCTTCCAAACACTCACACAATTTTGTTTTATCTTTACACATTATTATGCTCATATAATAATGTACAGAAAAGTTGAGAACTGAGTAAATGAGAAGCACATCAAATACAACAGTGGTCCATGCACTTTGGAGCACTTTTCTTAAAGAAGCTATCTTGCTAATAACACTTGCCATTGGCTGAAATTCCCTGTCTCTCTGTGTAACCAGGGGGTATGGCTGGCTCACTACTATTAGGGGAAAGGCAAGACGGACATATAACCAGATTATGACTGGTACCATTAGTATTGGAACTCTGTGCTGGCTGCTGAGGATGAGGACTGAGCACTCATGGGAATACCCTGAGTGCTGTGATGTCAAGTCTTGACTCAGCTCTATTCAACTCCCTGTCTTCCTGTGGCGCAATGTAACACTCATCTGGATATACTGAAAAGGGCCAGTTCATTTATCTTTACCCATTACCAGATGGTCTCATCTGAATATTTGGGAGCAGATAAACAATACAGAGGCACGATTAGATCATTATGGTCTGGAGAGAATGGTACAGCTAGGAGTGACCAGGTGTTCCAGTTGACAATCTGCACTCAGAGGATATATCATCAAACTGAGACTAGCTTCGTCAGAACTGAATCTTTTTGCAGGCTGCTGAAGATTAGGATATAGCGCTTATGGGAATGTCTTGAGTGCTATGATGTCAGTTTTTAGCTCAGCACCCAAATCTGAATCTTTATGACGTGTTTCAGCCAGAGCACAGAGCATCCTGGCTGGCAAATGCACCAGACTACTTAACATTTGATCGCATGTGGCCAGACGTTCACACCATCTATGATGTACTGGAGCAAGGCAGGAAGCTGTCAAGTAAGTTTTCTTCTAGGTAAAAAAGCTCTCTGTCAGCTTCTGTGGCTTGAAGGCTATCAACACAGTTTCATTATTCTGAGAGGACAGGGTTTGATTTAGCTGCAGGTAATTTGGCAGTAAACTGTTTTGCATTGATTTTAACAATGGTGTGAGTGAGTGTCAGCTGTGCCGGAGCAATGACAAACTATAGAACACAATAGTAAAACCACAAACACCAACACCTCCTGATGTTGGTTTACGATGTCCTCTAAAGGATAGACAATGAACATTTCAAAAGAGATCAACTGGAATTTCCATTTCTGGGATCGTAGTTTATAATTTTACAGCAGCCAGTACTAGGGAAGTTCTTGAGCTGTTCAGAACTAGGAGCTAGAGTGGCATAGTGATAAGGTAATTTGACTACCTAGACAGTGATTGGTCCAGGTTTAATTTCCAGCAGAAAAGGGTTATATTTTCTCACTAAAGTGGCTTTAGTGGTGACCCAGCCTCATAAAAATTGAACCTGAATCCAAAATGTTATTGGACTTGTCTGGCAAGAAAAGGTGATGAGGAAGGGAACAGGTCACCTCTACCATATGTATAACTGTGTTTTATGCGAAGCTAACCTGGTATGTGAAAGTGAATGAGGAACAGTCAGCAGATTGTTGATATATTTTTTGCAAGTTTTTACTGTTATGATGGCACTTTTTCAGATTTTAAAGCATCACTTATTGTTCACTCTTTTCTCAATGCATATGTAACCATGCACCTCTTGCTAGCTAAACAAAATGGTGTTTTACTTTTATATGCAGACTGTAGCATTGTAATTTTGTTGCATCATTGAAGAATGAAGCCTGTTTGATGGTGTACTTTGTTTTATGAATAAGGTTTTTGTCTTAACCATAATCAGACAGATTGGCTGGTGCTGACTTCTAGGTAGTGAATTGATGCATGACAGATAGCCCTTTGGAAGCAAGTGAGCAATGTGGATTCATGAATAGATCATTACAGTGTGGAGAGAATGGTGCAGAATAAAGTGACAAGAGGATTTGGCTAATAATCTACGGCAGAAGAAGGCAAGATGTATATATAATGAAACAGCTACTCATACCATCAGCTTTTGAACTCTTTGCTGGCTGCTGAAAATAAGGACGCAGCATTTGTGGGAATTCCTGAGTGCTGTGATGTCGATTCTTAGTACTCAACAGTCTTGTTTTTTTTTTTTTTTAAATTGTTGGATGGCGTTTTATGTCACTACAGGCTGAAGTGCAAGTGGTTTGTGTGTAGTTTGCCTTCTTACATCAATCCATGATGCTTTAGCTGTCTACCTTTTGTATGACTTATCAGTACTTTTAAATAATTTGCCAGAAAACGGACCTTGCCTGGGTACACGAAGTGGTCCAAACAGAGAATATCAATGGATATCATACCAAGAGGTGGGTAAATCATAATGCTTTCTTTGGTGTGTTTTTCTGTATTGATCCAAGAGCCACACTGTAGAAGAAAAAAAGAATAGACCCCCTCTCGCTCCCCCTCCTCTCGTCCATAAAAGTTACCTAATTAGGGGTGTTTCCTTTAAATTCAGAGCTCAGTAGTCTGCACACAAAAATTCCAGATCTATAATACAGATGAACTCAAAACGAACGAACGAATGAAAGTTCGTTCGTTCGTTTGTTTGTTTTGAGTTCATCTGTATTATAGATCTGGAATATTTAGACAACTCAAATTCTAGAATAAGATTAAGTCCTTGTGTGGGTTCCGGGGCCCTGTTATAGGGAAAACAAGAATAGACCCACTGCCTACCCAAAAACATGTCGTAAGAGTTGACTAATTGGGAGCTTCCTTCAAAGTTGGAGTGCCTCTGCCTGAGAGGCAATGAACCAACAGTCTGCATACAGATTAGTCAGATCTGTCGAACGAATGCACACGCAACACTCAAGTGGAATGCAGTCCAGAAGTGGACGAACAACCAGAACTTTCTGCCAGAGTTTATGGCAGCTGAACTTAACGAAGAAGAAGAAGAAGCAGAAGTATGTTGGTTTGCATGACTACTTGATGCTATGGTTGTTTATAACTGTAGCAAGGTTTTGTTGCTACTGATTATTCATAAACTACATTTGCTATACAGCACATACTGGGGTACCACTCTGTTCCCAAAGTACTTGTACTAATGTAGTATGGAAAGGGACAAATCTACTCGCCGGATTTGAAAAAAAAAAATGACTATGGTTCGGTGATTGACCCAACCTTAAAATAGGACCCATGTAATGTGCTGGGAAGTAAGGAAGGGTGGTGTAATGTTAGCCACTTCACCCAATGAGTTCTGATTGATTAAAAAAAAATGAATCTAGCAACATTTGCTCACTATTGTCCACTGTCATGAATCATCAGAAATCTACCACCTCATCAAATGCTCATTCATCTTTTGATAGTGTCTACCACTTGATCCAGTAAATACTCATCTTGAATAGTGTCTCTACCACCTCACCCAACACTCTTTTATCTTCTGATATTGTCTCATCCAACAAATATTTATCTTTTGTTGCTGTCTTTTCTACACCATCCAACCGCATTCATCTTTGAAAGTGTCTCTACTGTGCCATTTAACACTCATTCATCTTTTATAGTGTTTCTGCTGCTTTATCCATCACTCTTTTATGTTTTGATACTGTCTCTACCACCTCATCCAACAAATATTCATCTTTAACAGTGTCTATACAGCCTTATCCAACACTTATTAATTTTCAAAATACTGTCTTTATTTTCTCATCTAACACTCATTCACCATTCCACATCAATTTATGTAGGTTTTATTTTCGATTCAAATTTGTTGACTCTTGTAGTCTTTTATAATTTTCAGTAAATGCATTGTAACTTCCAATGTCACATCAAAATAGCAATTCAATTTTGGGCATAGAACACTGAAGTATATTTATGTACATAATTGTAACACATTTATAAATTACTTATAGTATATTTATGAAAATTTAGTGTTTTTTATATATATAATATATATATATATATATATATATATATATATATATATATATATATATATATATATATATATATATTTTTTTTTTACTTTATTAAACCTAAAGCAACTAAGGAAATCAGTTTTGACTTACACTTTTGCATACATTATGAAATCATTTTTTAAGTCACACGATAAGGCTATGAAATTATTTCATTAGTTGCACATTTAACCTAATTATGAAATTATTTGTGGAGTTACAGTTGTACTAATGCATACATTATAAAATCATTTTCTGAGTTAACACAATCCTATAACTTATGACATCACTTTTTTAACTACCCAGTTAAACTAATGCATACATAATGAAATTATTTTCTTAGTTAACACAGTAATATTAATACATTCATTATGAAGTAACTTTTCTTAGTCACTCAAAGTTTTTAACTTATGAAATCCTTTTCTTAGTTACATAACTTTTTATAACTTATGAAATCCTTTTCTTAGTTACAAATTGTTATAACTTATGAAATCCTTTTCTTAGTTACAAAATTTTGTAACTTATAAAATCATTTTCTTAGTTGCAGAATTACTCTAAAGCAGACATTATGAAATTAATGTGTTCATATGCAGTTAAACAACAGAGTTTAGACCACAGTTAATGCATACTTATGAACTATTTTTCTTATTTGCACATTTTTATAATTAATTTATTTTCTTAGTTACACAATTGTATAACTTATGAAATCATTTTCTAACTTAGTTAAACTAATTAATAGTCTGTGGAATTGTTGTTCAGGTGATTAACAGAGTCCATGCTTTCGGATCGGGTCTGATAAACCGAGGGTTTGCTCCTAGTAACATACTTATGAACTATTTTTCTTATTTGCACATTTTTATAATTAAATTATTTTCTTAGTTACACAATTGTATAACTTATGAAATCATTTTCTAACTTAGTTAAACTAATTAATAGTCTGTGGAATTGTTGTTCAGGTGATTAACAGAGTCCATGCTTTCGGATCGGGTCTGATAAACCGAGGGTTTGCTCCCAGTAACAAATTTGTTGGAATCTATGCTTCTAACAGGGCAGAGGTAAAGCAGTTTACTCAGAAATATCTGTATGTGTAAATATCTGCCTGTTTAAATGTCTCCTTGTTTATTGATTTGTCTTCTTGTTTGAATTCTTTCTTTCTTTAAAAAAAAACCACATATTTGAAGGAAAACTTATTTGAAATTATCTTGAGTTGTAACTTTATACTTGAGAGGTAACCGTTTGTTTCAAATTCAACTTAGTGTTTTGGATGCACACACAAACACACACCTTCTCCCGCCACCTCGCTGGATTAACTGGTGGAAGTATAGAAGAAAAAGAAGTCAGTTAAATGCAGTTCCAACTTACTTCGTGACAAATAGGTCACACATGCATGCATGCACCCATGCTCACACAAACACACACCTTCTCCTACCACCTCGCTGGATTAACTGGTGGAAGTGAAGAAGAAAAAGAAGAAGCCCCCACGCCCCCCCCCCCTTCCGCGCCCAAATATGTGCTTGTTCTAGTGCCAGAAAACCCCCACACAGAATGCCCATTACTTTAAAACAGACTGCATTCTCAGCAAAGCCAGTGGTATACACACTCATTGTGCAAACACATTTATTAGCTGTAACTTTCTAATTGACATGTGACTGGTTTTTTGAGATGTAATTGGTTGCATGAGATAAGGTTCTGTTTGTGATATCATTTTCTTTTAGGGGCCTGTTGATGTAAATTGTTGTATAAGTAAAATATCTATCATAATTTGTGTTTTATTTATTGTCCCATCCTCGCACAGTGGACTATATCAGACTTTGGGTGTCAAGCTTATTCTTTGTGCCCAGTTCCATTGTATGATACACTGGGTGTAGATGGATGCAAGTACATACTTAACGAGTGTAAGAAATGTTTCAGTATTTTTCATTATGCCATCTGTTTCTCATATTGATATATTTTTTTAATCTGTTATATTTTTTATTTTTAAAATACAAAATTAGTCTTTATTGCAGAGAAGTGGTTACAATGTTGGACTCCCACGCAGGAGACCAGGGTTCGACACCCGGTAAGGTGATGAAGTTTTTCTGCCGGGGCAGAATTAAATATCCGAACCTACCGATGTCAGACTTAAATATTTTATGAAGAAGAAAGGGGAAAATTTATTGCCTGTAAAATGAGATGTTTGAGAAAGGCTACGATAAAACCAGAAAAGATTGCGTGAGAAATGCAGAGATAGAAATGCCAAGATTGAAACTGTTGGAATGATACTCATCAATAAATTTATTGAGAAAGAAAGAAAATGCTCGGGTACGAGCTAAATTACATTGATAGAAATGACATCACATGTACTAGTAATAATTTAATTAGCAAAATCCTGTTTGGCCGTTATGGAGAATTGGGCCATATAATTGTTTTGCTAATATTGGTTTTTTGCTTGTCTTTAATCTTGCAAAGATTAAATGTTAATTATAAGAGATCATAAATGTTAGGTAAAAAATATTTGAAGTGTACTTTTCAAATAATTAACAATCAGATCTATCTTTGGAAGTATTTATTTAAACTTATGTTGGTTACGGTCAGTTTGCTTTGCAATAATAATGGACTCTATTAGTTCATCACATGCTCAAGTCAAAAGCATATCATGGATTTTCTGATCAAGATATTTGGGTGTGCGAGGTAATGAGCATGCTGATAGATTGGCTGCTTTCGCTCCTGTAGATGGTAAGCTACATTATGATAAAGCAGAAGTGGAGAAAGCTGTTTGGGATCAAGTAGACGATTCAACAGAGCAAACTGAGCATCCATTCATTGAGAGACAAATTTAGCGGCGGCCTGGGGGGGGGGGGGGGGGGGGGGGTTTGAGCGTAGAGTCTAGAAGATATTCAACACTGTAGGGAAAAACAAAGGGAGACTTTTAATCAGGTTGCAGCAGGTACTATTTGCATATCGACTCTTCTATGGCTACTGAGGAAGGAGACGGAACAGGTGTGGAAATGTCCCTAGTGCCGGGATGCCAGTTCTTTATCCATTCATTCGTCCTCAGGTCTTCAGAAAATTTAAACTCTTATAATTATTGCAGCAATTTCAGTTTTGTAGTCAGTTTTGCAATGTTTCATATTTCCGTATTGTTTTTGTTTCTTTAAATTTAGGCGAGATGAGTGTGATGGTCGTTGATACAGAAGAAAAACTGCAAATCTTGATAGATCTGAAACCTGAAGTTCCTTTTCTGAAGCTGGTGGTAGTTATAGAACAGTTCAAGGCTGAAACACGAAATGCTGCCTCCAAACGAGGCTTGGAGCTGATACAGTTTTATGAGCTGCTAGTAAGTAGTTACATTTCTTCAGTCAAAAGACTTTACTTGTCAGAAATGTGCATACCAGAATTTTTACAATAGAACACTGTTAACATAGAGCAGACTGACATCAATTGGGTGACTCTGTCACAGGGGTTAGTTGTACATTAGTGCAAACTGTAGAGCATGTCTTACAGGATTGCCTAGACTTTGCCGTTCAGAGAAGGAAGCTGGAGCTTGGAAGTGAACCATCAAAGCAAATAATAGGTGTTTGGCAAAGACCACAGGCACATCATTTTGTAAACCATGCTGGAATAGATGTAAAGCAAACATTGATCACTGAAGAAGGAAAAGAAGAATACCATAAAGTGTTTTGTCTTCTTCAACATTCCGACTATTAAAAACAAATATTGTCCACACAATAAAGGCTGACTACAGTGTATCCACTGCTGTATTTGTGAATATTAAGTGGTGACACCCCAATCTCTTCACTGGTGCGACTCTCATACCATTGTCTGAAAACCGCAATAGCAGATTTGTAATAAACTCCATTGGAAAATCATATCCTAGTATTTAAGGATCATGAAATTGTTAAATGCACTCAATAACCTTCAAGCCACAGAGCTGCAGCACTTCAGACATCTTTACACAAACTGTTTTAAACAACATTGAGTTACAGGCACTTCACGCAAACTGTTATAAACAACATTGAGTTACAGGCACTTCACGCAAACTGTTATAAACAACATTGAGTTACAGGCACTTCACGCAAACTGTTATAAACAACATTGAGTTACAGGCACTTCACGCAAACTGTTATAAACAACATTGAGTTACAGGCACTTCATGCAAACTGTTATAAACAACATTTAGTTACAGGCACTTCACACAAACTGTTATGAACAACATTAAGTTACAGGCACTTCACTCAAACTGTTATAAACAACATTGAGTTTCAGGCACTTCACGCAAACTTATGAACACATTCAATTACAAGTACTTCATGCATAAACAAAATATATACACCTTGCAGTAACTGAGGATGACAGATTGACACTAAGCAATAAAGACATTTATAAACTACAAAGCATTTAATTAAACCATGTTTTGTTTTCTCTTTTTAACAGGACCTTGGCAAAAAGAATTTGAAAAAGCCCATAGTAAGTAACCTGGCTATGCAAACTAATTGTTTTTGTCATAGATTGTTTAAGCTTTTTCTGATTTCACGTTCTTACGCATGAATATATATATATACATACATACACTTTAACAGTCTTCTTGGGTTTAAATCCTAATAAAAGTAGATTTATTGAATAATTGAGCTTGACCCAGCCTAAAATGGATACAATGAAATGTCATGGGGAGTAAAGTCAGCCTGCATTTCATTTTTTAGATCACATCACCCCTCGAGTGCTGATTCTTGTAAAAGAGTATGAGGACTATGAGGAGGTAGCCAGATGAGGTGTATAAACCAGTGAGGTAACCTGTAGTAATTTGCAAATTTTAAAAGAGGTAACCAGAAGAAGATTATATACTAAAAAGGAGGTAACCTATAGAAGTTTGTATATCAAGGAGGAGGTAACCTAGAGAAGTTTTTTTTAAAGGAGGAGGTGACCTAAAAAAGTTTGTTTACCAAAGAGGAGGTAAGCTAGAGAAGTTTTTATATAATGGAGGAGGTAACCTAAATTAGTTTGTATATCAAGGAGGAGGTAACCTAAATAAGTTTGTATACCAATTGTACGGTAACCTAAATAAGTTTGTTTACCAAGGAGGAAAGTAACTAATGAGGTGTGTAATACTGGGGGGGGGGGGGGGGGGGAAATTTGTAAATATGTATACCAAGGAGGACCTGAAGAAAGGTGTATATCAAGAGAGAGATAACTAGAAGTTTGCATATTAGGATGGAGGTAACCTAAAGACATTTGTATACAAAGGCTTAGGTAACCTGAATAATGTTTGCAAACTAAAGAGGAGGTAACCTAAATGATGTTTGCGAACCAAAGAGGAGGTAACCTAAATGATGTTTGCGAACCAAAGAGGAGGTAACCTAAATGATGTTTGTGAATCAGAAAGGTAGGAACCTGAAAAATTTTTTTGTGAATCAAAAAGGAGGTGATCTAAAGAAGTAATTGAATTTTTGCTATACAAAAAATGTTTTTCTAGAGTAATGTTTTATACAGCGTTTACAATTAGTGTACACATTTTCAATCTGCAGCCACCAAAACCAAGTGACCTTTTTTCTGTTGTCTACACAAGTGGAACTACAGGTTTGCATGACTCAAAATAAATTTTTTTTTTTATTTGAGCACCAGTTGAACTTGTATTTCTGTTTGATTTGAACCATCACCCACCAGTTACCATCTGGCCTATAACAAATGGATCTAGCATCATACGTCTTGGTTAATTAGAACCTTTTAGTTATTTTCTCCAGGGAGTGCAGGTGTTTTGAGAATAAACAGGCAGATAGACTGGCTGGTTCTGCACCACTTAGTGGTAAATGAATGCATAGCAAGCTAGATGTTGTCAGGCTGGTTCTGCACCACTTAGTGGTAAATGAATGCATAGCAAGCTAGATGTTGTCAGGCTGGTTTAGGAGCGAGTGAACAGTGGGGAGGCACAAAATAGGTCATGGTGTAAAGAGAATGGTGCAACAGGGGGTGACCAAGGGATCTGGCCCACTCTCAAGGTTTAGGGAAAAGGCTAGACAGTCATACAATCAGATACTGGTACCATCAGAATTAGAACTCTGCATGTGCAGCTGAAGATGAGGATGCACACTTATGGGATTTCCAGAGTGCTGGGATGTTGGTTCTACAATGAAATGCTGGTTCACCCACGTGTTTGAAATTTGTGTGTGTGTTTGATGGAACAAAATGCTGAGAAGGTGTGTAACAACTGCTGCATTGTGTGCTTCTACCTACTTACAGTAGATAGACAGAGATTGGCTGGGTCCCATGACAGTAGTTAGTGTCTCTGAGGCTGTCATTGCTGACAAAGATCAGTTTTATTTTCGTGCAAGGAAATGAGAAGCTGATAGGTTTGCAGGTAAGGCTATGGGGAAGGGTGGACTAGGCTGATATACTGAATGCTCTACAAGAAGTAAGACTTTTGTGAGAATCAAGTGACTGTGAATCTGCAACCATGATCAGACTGCAAGAACAGCAAGTTAAAAGAAGTGTGGCCAGACGAGCACTTTGCAGGAAACTAAATAAGAATAAGAAACCAATACGGAACTGGTGTTATCAGCTGCCACACATGGCAGGATTTACTGAGGAGGGAATCTGAACACTTTTGGATTGAATGGAATGGTTAGATGTGCAATGAGGATACTATGTTAGTTAACTAACTAAACTAACTAATCTAATTATAATGTGAGATACAAGGAGTTAAAAAAAATATATCTCAAGGGAGTAACCAATAAATGCATGGTGATTTTTTTGGTTACTAAATACTTTATCTCCTTTCTTTTTTTCTATGTCACTGTTGAAAGTGTGTGCCTATGCTGTTCCTTCACCAGTTTTGGTTGATCCATCTTTCATTCACAGCCTGCTAGTCTTACCTTTTTTTATACACTCCATGGTTCATATTGTCATTATCTGACTGCTGGTCTCTGTATATCACTAGTTATTGTATTTTTTCCCCCCAGCTGATGAAGACTTAGTTAGTTTAGGAAAGATCAAAGTTAATCTTCTCTATGATTTGCAGTTCCACAACGTTTATTTCCGTTAATTTTGCATAATCTTTGCAATTATACAATTTGTAATTTGACAATCAATAAAAAAAAAATGTATGTACATCTAAGTTACTTTATGAATGTGCCATGTACCAGTGCTGCTAATACCTGTCTCACATGCACATTGTGTGGCAGACTTCCAGATCCTTCCTTGCACACATCACACACACCCTTCTTGGTTTTAAACTTACTGCAAATACATGTAGTTAGGGAGGTTGTGTTGCAAACTCATGCCTTTATTGTCATTGAACTTCAACAGCATGTTCTAAATTTGAAATACTACTTTAAAATGGTTTTGCATTTCTTAAACGACAGTCATGCCTTGGCCATTTTGTTGACTGTTTTTTTAAATTCTGGTCACTGTCAGTCACATAAGTATCATCTAAGCAATGGAATTTTTTGAGAGGGCATAATTTCTACACATTATTACTGACATTTGTCTCTGTGTGGTGCTTGGTGTCATAAAAATAGGACCACTGTATCCTCTCAGCATGTCGTAAGAGGCACACAAAAAAAAAACTGCTACAAAACAGACAAACATAAATATAAATATTACTCATGGAGATCGGGATGTCAAAGATATAGGTGACAGAATAATTCTGAATGATGAAGGACTAAGGGGGAAAGCCTAAGAGAAACCAAGCCCTGATGACCTGAATCTTGGCGCCCAGGAACAGGATTCAGCTTACCTGCTGGAACGTCAGAATTATGTATGAAGCAGGCAGATCGGCAGCTGCTAAATAGGCCAGCATCAGATATCCCAGTGGAAACCGTAAAAAACTGGCCAACTCCTAGAAATGGATATTGGGCCAATCAGCATTAAAGAAATATAAATGGCAATAAGCAGTATGAAGAATGGGAAGACACCAGGTGAAGACCGAATTAGTGCTGACATGCTAAAGGCAGACCCACAATTTACAGCAAAAGCATTACATGGAATATTCAGCAAAATATGGATAAACAAAGTGGTCCCAACAGACTAGAAAAATGGTGTAATCATCCCACTACCAAAGAAAGGTGATGTCTCACACTGCAACAACTGGAGAGGCATTACATTAATGTCTGTACCCAGAAAAGCACTCTGTAAGGAATATACAACAGAATAAAGACGTCAATAGACAGAGTTTTGTCGGAAGATCAAACAGAATTTAGAAAAGGAAGAAACTTTTGTGATCATATTTTCAATTTCAGAAATATTTGGAAGAAGCTGTAGAATGGAATGCCACATTATATATCAACTTTACAGACTTTTGAAAGGCTTTTGACAGTCTAGATAGAACAATGCAATGATGTGGAGGATCCTTGCTGCGTATGGGTTACCAGATAAAGTTATAAACATATTTAAAGGACTCTATAATGGATACCAATGCAAAGTGAAAGTAGGACTCATTGAAACATAATACTTCAGGGTAACATCAGGAGTCCAGCAAGGATGCATTTTGTCACCTTTCTTGTTTCTCACAGTGATAGATTATGTTACAGAGAAAGCAACAACAGGCACACAGACAGGCCTTCAGTGGAACCTTCTCGACCACCTTGAACATTTGGACATTGCAGATGATATCTGTGTCATCAGCCAAAGTAAAGAACATCTATAACAAAAAACAGATAAGATAACAGAAATAGCAAGACAGATAGGGTTAAGAATCAACGTGAGTAAAACAAAACTATTGAAGATAAACTCCAAAAAATGAAAGGCCTATAGTAATAGATTATGTAGGTTTGGAAACAGTAACTGACTTCACTTACCTAGAAAACAATATTTCCTCAGATAGAAATGTCAGGGTTTAAAATCAAACAGAGAATTGCAAAGGTAAATGCTGCCAACAACAGACTTCAGAGTGTCTGGAGATCAAACATCTACAGCACTAAAACTAAATCCAGGATATACAAAACATGTGTTAGGACAGTTCTCCTCTATGGAGCAGAAACTTGGAAAACACACAGAAAGATAAAAAGCATTCTCAGAGGTTTTGAGGGAAGACCAAAAGATTGTTGGGGCTCACATGGAAAGATAAAATCAGCAATTCTAAAATGCAATAGATGTCAGACTTAGAAGATGTAAATTTAGAATAAAAAACGAAGATGGAGGTGGATTGGCCCCATCCTCAGAATAAAGAAAGATAGACTGCCGAGACAGGCAATGCAATGGACACCACAATGACAGCCAGGAAGAGGCAGGCCCAGAGGCACTTGGAGGTGAACCTTTGAGGTGGAACTCGAGGTTGCGTGAAGACAAAACTGGAGATAGAGAGGATGGCTCATAGTTGAATTGAGTGGCGACAGTTTGTCTCTGCCTTATGTGCCTCTGGGCATGATGAGAATTGATTGACCACTGTCATTTGATTTACTGTGGAAAAAATATGTTTTATCTGTTAAAGTGTCAATATTTTTCTTTTTCTGGTTATATATTTGTAATTTTCGTTTTCAAATGGCATTACCTCTGGAAATTTTGTTATCGAAAATGTACTTTCTTTTAACAGGAAACCCTAAAGGAGCTATGCTTACTCATCATTCTTTTGTAATCATGGTTGATGGCATTCTTACACACTTGATGGTGAGTCATTATGTCAGTGAATGTGTTTTATAGGAGTGGCTGGCCAAACGATTAGAACTCTGGGCACTCATTTGGGAGACATGGGTTAGGCTTAATGACAAGTGATGGAAGTTTTCATGATAGGGCAATAAAAAGCATGCACAGGTCAAGGTGACTGCAGGAGCCCTGTAGCCCTACATTCTTAAAGATACTACCCCTCTCCGTCCTCAGTTTCATGTCCTGTGCCACCTTCGCAAGCAGTAAGTGCAGCCAGTTAAGGAAATTTTTTTCATATATTTTAGCTATTACAGTTGGTTCCCCCCTCCTTCCCAAGCCTACTGAGTGACAGCCATTTTATTAACACTGCCCCAAAATGCTAATTGCTGTTTATATTTACAACTTTTGCAGTATAGATTAGGTCTTTGGACCTTAGTATTTGTGGTTGCATTGTTAGTGCAGTTGCCACAGTCTACAGGTTATAGGATTTTATTTTGCGATTTTAGCCGTATTTTAAATGTACAAATTAGTTGAAGCTAGTACAGGAGCACTTAAAGTGAGTTGGCAGTTGTTGGGATGGTGTATTAGGTTGCCACTGGCTTTTTAAAGTATTAAACATTCATGTCCATATTTGTGAGAGCAGAGTCCTTACAGGGTATTTGTCTTATTAAAGGTTTTTCTATGTTGTATAATCCCTGCCGGATGTGGACTTCATGTTACTTTATAACTGACGGGTTCCTCAACATAACCTTGAGGTTGAATGAGGCTTGCATAGATTTTTATCTGTAGCACTCTCATAACTGAGGTGTTTGTCCTGCAGACAAAAATCCTGGAGGGGACAAACTGCAGAACTGCATCTGTAGTATTTCTGAGAGATGAGAAGGTGGTTCTAAAGCAAACACTTTTGTTTGGTTGTGGAATGTTTAGGTGTTAAATGTTTAGGTGCAAAAATGTTTAGGTCTGAAATGTTAGGTTTTCACTTGTTCCAAGCCTTGAAAGGAGGTGGAATGGCCAGTTCCCTTTCCTGTCTTCTTTCCAGAAAATCTGGAAATTCTCTGGAACCCATTTTGAGGTTGGGACAATTCCAGAGCTGTACAGGTTGGAAAGATTTCTGCCACTTCTGGGTATTGAACCAGGGCCATTGAGAGATGTATGTAAACCGAAAGTCCTATTTTTATAGGAGCCAGTGGCTAGTTTGTCCTTCTTGCCAGGATCCTGGGGAAAATTCAATTCACATTCAGCGTAACTGTTAAGGCTTTGCCAGATGGCATATGTGTCCATGTCTTTCCACAGATTTTGTTTCTTGAAATTCTGAATAAATTCTATTGATATTTCTCCATGTTACCGTTGACCTTCTAGCATCATTCTCTAATTCTGCCTGTGATTTGTCTACCAGTCTTTTCTAGTAATCATTATATTCTTCAAGTCTACGTTCACATCAAATGCCCCAAGATACTTAGTCTTTTATATTTCTGTCAGATTTGTAAAATTTCTAGTTGCATATAATTTTCTACTTTCATTATCTTTTCTTAAGCTATTGTTATTTATTAAAGATTATTTAAAACATGTTATCAGAAACCACATCATTGCTGCCTCAAAAATTTCCCAGTTTTTTGTGTTCATATTTCTTGATTAACTGCCATTTAACACAATAGATTAACCATAACATTTCTGTATAATGTTTTTTTGACCTTGAATGAAAGTGAGTTATTACATAAAATACTTTTTATCTTTTGAAATGCTGCCAATTTTTGATGTGATTGCCGCAAATATTTAGATATATTAACTTAGCTGAGCATTTTTCTTTCAGTTGGATTTATCTGCATGTTTAAATATTTTACATAACTGTAAACATTTTACATTGACAGAAACACTTCACATATAGGACAGATGACGTGCATATGTCTTACCTGCCTCTGGCTCATGTGTTTGACCGGGCTGCCTGCGTAAGTTAACGCTAACATAAATATCACTGTTAACTTTTGTTATTGCCAGTTTGGAAATGCAACACTGTTTTTGCTTTTATTATTACTCTGAAGATAGATGAATTTTTATTCAAGTGTATATTTTTACATTCATACACATTTAATGATGGCATTTGCATTTTTCTAAAAAGAAAAATGTGAAATGGGAAATTATTCTCAATTAAATACATATCCTTTTGAATTTTGTACATTTTTGACTGTTCATTCTTTCACAGCATCTTTAATGATGTTTATCCATATCAAAAACTACCTAAGCTAGATTTAAAATTAAGAAAACTACCCAGTAAAGAATATTTATAGCATGTTTGGTTCTGGCACGCAAACTCATTTGAAAGGTGTTCGTGTTCTGTGTTAATATGTTTCTGTTTAAAACAAAAAAACAGCAAAAGACCCTTTCACACCATTGACACATCAATAGAAGCAGTGACAATCTCCTGATTAACGCATCTGGGCTATGACTGGGATATATTGAACTGATTTTTTTTCGGTTTCAGTAATGGAGATTTATGCCTATCCATTATGTTTTGCTATTCAGTATTGCATAGCTTATGTATCAATTGTATACAATTTTAGGAATATAGATTGTCAGTTTCAGTTTCTTTTTAAGTGTATTTTCAAGCAGTTACGGTAATTATTTTGTGTAGTTTATCTTTGTGGATATTTAAAATGATTTGGGATACAAGTATTCTGTCCTAATATACATTAACACATCATATGCTAACCACGTCATATGTTAATACTGTTTATTCTACTCCAGGAATTTATTCTATTGCCATGGACTTATTGCAGTTGATCGTATATTTATTAAGGAGCAGTGAATTTCCACATCAGGCATTATAGTACTAGGGCCATGTTTTTACAGGGAAATTGGCACTCAGTGGGCGATGTGGTGAACATCAGGCCTGTCATATTTATTTTCCAGGATATTTCTTGGTAATAGGTTAAGGCTGGGTCGGTCATCCTGGGAGCCCAATCTAATTATAAACTTCTGCCTTGATATGGATTCAGACACAAGACTGACAGGCAAGTCTAGCCACTGCACTAATGTGACTCCCTGTACAATCTCCAGAAGGTGAATAGTGAGTGCACTTTGGAGGGACATTGAACATTTAAGGTTATTTTTATTTACAAATTAAACTGAGTCCAATAAGAGTTAATCTTTTTAAGATATTCCTCTGTGATTATGAGATGTAACTGTTTCCTGATTCTGACAAACAGGTGCTAGTTTTAATGTCTGGAGCACAAATCGGCTACTACAGCAGGGACCTGACTGCTCTGTTGGATGACTTTGCTACTTTGAGACCCACCATCTTTCCCAGTGTGCCGCGTCTGTTCAACAGAATATATGACTCTGTATGTATGTTTATACTTAACTCTTTTAAGTTACACAAGGGTTTATTGGGCATATGTCTATCTGAGATTTAATTTACACTAAAAGGTTAGAAGTTACTTATTTCCATTGTATGCCTGCTACTTTTTTCTCTTTCCAGACGTTATTTTGGGTTATAGGAGACAGAAATCACAGTCTATGGTGATTGCAAGTATGACTAGCAAACTTGCTCACATTAAGAAATGTTATGTAGAGACCATTTAAGGCCAGGAAGGAAGTTCCTCTGATCCATGGCAAAAATCCATATACCATGTTACCTAAGCAGCCTCTTTTTAACTACAATGGAAAGGTAACACCAATATGTTTGGAATAAACCGCCTGGCAGAAGCTGCCAGATCAAAAGAGCAGTGCTCTCTCTCTCTCTCTCTCTCTTTTTCTCTTTCTCTTTCACTCTCTTTCTCTCTTCTCTCTCTCTCTCTCTCTCTCTCTCTCTCTCTCTCTCTCTCTCTCTCTCTCTCTCTCTCTCTCTATGTGTCAAAGCTCCTTTCCTAAACCAGCTGCTAGCTTAGGGCCTCATCTGCCCTGCCATCACATTACATTTCTGGGTTACATCACCTCTTCCTATGATAATGCTAGTATTCCCCCCCCCCCCCCAATGCAACTACTTCAAGTCAAAAACCAAGAATCTCTAGACAGTATGGTAACTAATAGAAGATGGAAATGGCCTGGCCACTTTATGAGAATGAATCCTGATATCCTGCCAAAAACAACTCTCACATGGATACCAGGGGGAAAGAGAAAAAAAAGGGGCACCTAAAAACAACATGGAGGTGAGCGAATTAAAGTGATCTGAGTGCAGCATCTTTGACATGGAAAACTGCACTGAAGATTGCACAGAACAGGAAAACATGGAAAGTCCTCTCGGAAGCCTCATGTGCCACTAGGCATAAAGAGAACTGATGATGATGATTTGTTCACAAGTATAATTTTAAAATTTAAATTATAAAATTTTTTTTATAAAAAACAACTAATCAGATTTTACATTGAAGTAAAAACACACAAACACCTAAAACATGAGTTTCCTAGCCTTTAACTCTGTGGGTACCAAACTGTATATGATGTGTTTCTTGGTCAGTTCAAAAACAACATACTGTTCTTGCGTTCTTAAATAATTTATTACTGCTACATTCACTCCACGTATTACAGTTATAAGTCTGGTTTGCAGCCTCGTGATATGTCTTGCATGGCTCATTCAGATTTAGGCACTTAATTAATACTTTCAGGTACAACTTTTTAGTATTGATCACATTAAATTAACATCTGTCTGGGGCTGAAAGAGTTTAGCATTTTTAACTTTATTGCATTCTTTATAGTCAGCACAGATTTTAGATTGGAAAAAGTGATTGAATAGACTGGGAAAAATTATTGTGTACTTGTATGAACTTTGTGTCTGTGAGATTGTCCTAAGCATGACAACTGTTGTTTGAGTTAATTTAAAAACATGACAATCATTTTGCAGGAACTTAGAGATTGGATGGTTTGTGTTTGTGTGTGTTGTTTTTAAATCACTAAACGCTTTCTTATAAAGAAAAACAACAGCTTTTGCTTTATACAAATCTCTAGGGGCCGCGTTAGTGCTGTCAATAGGAGACTCGCTTTCAAATCCATCTGCGACTCGCTGCAGCCCACGGCTGATGTTCGAAACCGGGCGATTCCTGGGGCTCACTCAGTCTCTAGGTAATGGGTACCAGAATTAACAGTCTGGGTTAAATGGTGAAACATCGCTGTCCATACTGGTGGCAGTGCACTTATGGTTTTTAACCGTGTGCAGTGACGCTGGTTCACATCTCCCGACTTTACCTTTTTATTCTTCCTCCTGTCTCTACTATCTTATAAGAATGCAGATCAGCATAGCATCACTTTGTTTATTATAAAAAATACATACTTTTTCAGGTAATGGCAGATGTAGGGCAGTCAAAAGTCAAGAGCACACTTCTGAGGTGGGCCATGGAAAGTAAATCAAGAGAAGTAAACAGGTATGATTTCTGACTAATTTACATTTTACATTAATTTTAGAACAGGCACATCATCATTAATGTGGCTTTGGTTACCATCATGTTATAATATTTAATAATTGTTTGGTGTACTATTACTTAACCAGACTTGTTTGTGTTATATTTATGTACCTGTTTTGCAGAATGAGGTATGTTATTAGGATATCAAAATAAAAATGTCTTGGCTAGCCTAGACGGTAGAGTCTAGTTGATTGAAGAGGAAGGAATTGCTAAGAAATGTTTCATTTTTTTGTCTTTGGTGATTGGCCTCTACTCTAACCTATAGAGAAGCAACAAGTACCTGAGATCTTTTATATCTTTTGGAGAACAGAGCACACATACACATACATAGATACATTTCAATAAAGAGAGTACTATCGGAAGCTTTTGGGTTCCAATATGTCCAGTTTGCTGCTGACAGTGTGAGAGTTATGATTGGTACAGCCAGGTAAAGGGAGGCACATCAGGCATAAGAGAAGTCTTGTCAACCAGCACAGAATAGGCACTTCTTGGTACATTCACATACAAATACAGACGCCAAGATACACATGCACACATATGATACAGAAGTAGACATACAGATGTAGTTATGCACACAAGCACATACACAAGTATATGTAACAGATGTACAGTTATGTACAGTTATGCAGAGACACACATACAGACTGCCTTTTCATTTATGGCATAACATTGTTCTAGGGAGCCACAGTAGCATAATGACTTAACTGTTGCCTGCAGACTCAAAGGTCTTGTGTTCAAGTCCCAATGGCATCATATTTTTTTTCTTCACAATTGATCTAGACTCCTGGGTCAACCCAGCCTAAAATGACTAACATGTAATGTCCAGGGAAGTAAAGGCGACTGGTTTGATGTTTACCACATCACCAACTGAGTGCAGATTGATTTATATACATAGGTCTATTATCATATGCCTGATACTCTACTGGTGTGTAAAGGGTCCTTTAATTGACTGTAAATAACCTTGTTCATATTCCTGCAGGAGAATAATAAGGCGAGACAGTTTTTGGGATAAGTTGCTAATGAAGAAGATTCAGAACAAGATTGGAGGTCGAGTTCGTCTGGTGATCAGTGGATCTGCTCCATTGTCACCAGAAGTCATGCAGTTCTTGCGGTGTGCATTTGGTTGCCCAGTAAGTTTATAAATAGATGAGCTCTTTGAACTGATTTATCAAAATATTTTTTGTTGGGGTTTTTAACATTGACATTCATCATCATCGTCGTCAAGCTTCCACTTTCGCTGTTATATATTGTGGGAAAAAAACAGTTTGCAGTCCAGCATTTGTTTGACAGTACTGGTTATTGTTATTTTGTTTGGATATGTGAAGTCAATAATGTCATCAATCAATTTTTTTTTCTCCTTGGAAGTTCTCACATCAGATCTTTTAAAGTTTAGCAGCTATGTTTGTATATGACTATATTCAAATATGACCAGATCATTTGAAAACACTGATTTTAACTGTCAAAAGTATTACTGATATAGATTAGTGGGATAAGGTAGGCTCTGTCACTACTGTCTGTTTTACCACTTTTTAGGGCGGTTTAGACGGAGGGGCCTTGAGCCTAAGGATTTAGGGCTGCCTGGCTAGGGCTGTCGCCACATACTGTGCAGGTTAGGATGTTTAATATAGGGTAAGCACTACCTGCAGGATATATGTGGCATCTCCTTCCCTCCACTAGCATCCAGGACATCTTGTAGGCAGTGGTGGAACAGTCATTACCAATGATTGCTAGGAGGAACATCAAAGCTGAGCATTTTGACTTTCTGCTTGAAGAAAACTATTCACACCACAAATTTCAAAGCTGGCAGGACAGGCATTGACAGTGTCCACGTTTATGCATTTGTGGTTCATGAACCACCAAACAAATGCGACTGTATGTTGGTGTGTAGTGAGCTAAAAGGCTACAGAATTATGCAAGCAAGGAATGGTGTTACTATGGCAAACATTTTTTATTCTTTACCAGCTTATCTGAAGTTGATTTTGAAATAGCCCTCATATTAATTGCTTCTTGGGATGTAAAAAGAAAAAAAAAAAAAAAAAAGAATTTTGGGACTGATAGGATGATGGCACAGAAAGGATCCTTTACTGTATAAAAAAAAAAGACTTTTTAGAAACCATGTGATAATATGTTAATAACTATCTTGCATTTCAGGTTCTAGAAGGGTATGGCCAGACAGAGGCAGGAGCTGCCATAACATTAACTGTCTGTGGAGATCCTGGTGTAGGTATGTTTTATGTTGGACTAGAAGTTTCTGTCAATATCTCTTGATTGAGCAGAGAGTCTGAATGATATTTAACACTCATGGGCAAACAAAGGAAGACTTTAATTAGGTTGTAACAGGTATTATCAAATCTGAAATAACGCTGTTGATGAAACAAGGACGCCAAGAGAAACCCTAAGGCAGGCATTCGTGAGAGAAGCCAAAAGTGCTGGACTCACTTCTGTCCGTATATATTTTCAAAACACTGTGACTTCTGTGATGAACTGTTGATGATTGGGTCAGGCACACCGAGTAGTGACCCCAACGTCAGTTGCTGCTGTTTCGAAACTTCTTTATCATCATCATCAGTTCTCTTTATGCCTAGTGGCACATGAGGCTTCAGGGAGGGCTTTCTATGCGTTCCTGTCATGTGCAGTCTTCAGTGCAGTTTTCCATGTCAGACATGCAGTTCTCAGTTAACTTTCCATCGTTTGTTTCCATGTTGTTTTTGGGTGCCCATTTTTTCTCTTTCCCTGTGGTGTCTAAGTTTCCCAGGTATATAAGAATTAATTTTGAAGTTCTTACCCCACTCATACACTTGCTGGCCTGACAGGTGTGCATCAGTCTGATGGACCTTCATTCACCGATGAATTTCTATAGGTTTTACCTCTTCACTGATTTAAAAAAAAATGATGATAGAGCTGCTCCTCTATGATGCATGTCAAAAGGAGGGTGACCATCTATAAACTTTCATAAGGATGTCACCATGTTTGTTTGCACTGTGATGTCACATGCTTAACATTCTTGACATGCTTAAAAACAATATTCACAGGTTACAAAACAATGGCACCCATATGTCACCGAGGTTGTCACGGAAAGCAAAGAACATTAACACTGCACCCAACCAGGCATGTCATAAGAGGCGACTGAGGGTAGGATTGCGCTTGAGGTTGGCTACCTCATCCTGTAAAAACAGTAGCCACAAAAACCAACCTACCATGTAAAAGAGAGCTGCATGCGATAGCAAAGGATAGAATGACTTGGCGTGAGTTGGTTGAGGGCCTGTGCTTTATTGTGGGTTAGAAGGACAGAGGAAGACGACAATGGCTTGGTTTTTGAGAATTTCTGTAACACGTTTAAGGTTTTTATTTGAAGCCTCAACATATAAAGTGTGGATGAGATACATGGAGTTAAGTATAGCTTATGGTGAAAAAGGCTGTTATAAATGAATGGTGAGCTGTTTGTGTCTGAAAGGGTTAACTTAAAAAAAAAAGTAGGAAGAAACTACTAGAAAGAGAATGAAGGCAAAGAATAACAGAGAGACTAACATGAGTTGTGTTTCTCTATTCTTGTAGGCAGTGTTGGACCACCACTTCCCTCATGCCACGTCAAGTTGACGGATATTCCAGAGATGAACTACTACGCCAAGGACAATATCGGAGAAGTATGTAACTGCATATAAGTAAAGGTCCATTTTCCACACCTTTAGGCGTTTTGAGAATGTAGGGCTAGACCTATATTTTTAATGACCAATCGGCACTTGGTGAATGATGTGGTCAGCATCACGCTGGCCATTTTTTACTTCCCAGGGCTGCACCTGGTACCCACTCAAAACTGGATCAACCTAGAAGTCAAGGTCATTAAAAAAAAAAAAGTCCGGCCCCATCAGGACGTGAACTCATGACCTTCCAATCTGCAGGCGGGCATCAAGCCACCAACACCACATGTGACTGCATATTGTTAACCTTATTATACCACAAGTAGCTTACCAATACACTGGTGTGGGATTTGGTCCCTTTTAGTGACAGTAAAAATTAGTAACCTCCTTGGTTGCACTCGCCTGTACCAAATAAATGCCAGATATCTTTTAAAGTAAATGCAGCTTGGGTATCATTTAGTCACTAAAAATGAGGGCCTGATATATAAGCGCAAGTATATTTTTGTTGAAGAATTAGAACCATTGCATTTGAATCAATCACATCAGTGTTTGGTCTCAGCAGATCAAGCAGTATAAATGCTGATTTTCCATGTTGTGAGCTTGCCATCTACATGTCAGATCCGACTTCACTTATAGTCATCATGATCAGTTTTGTATTCAGTTCCAATTTCAGTTGGCTTAATGGCAAACTGAGTGATTATCAAGGAATGACTGAATCTGCAACCTTGACCATAACACAAGAACATAAAATCAAAAGGGATAAAACCAGACCAGAGAACTATGCAGGAAGCCAAAGAAGACAGATAAATGAATGCAGAGCTTATGTCATCAGCTACTGCACACTGAGGGACACAATGAGGAAATGATCCAAGCACTTACAGATTGAATCCATTTGTGGCTTCCATGGCCTCTTTTGAGGAAGGAGAGAGAGAAAAAAAAAAGGGGGGGGGGATCTGAAGCAATAAAAATGAAATACCTATGATGGATCTTAACCCTGCAAAAAGAAAATGAACCCACTTATCTAAGTGTCATCTTCGACCCAAGGCTAACATGAAAACTGCAAGTTGACAAAACACCCCAAATAAAAGATACAAAAGACTGCACTGATAAAAAACTTCAGGAAAAGTAGGGAGCATCCCATGAAATACTTAAGATAACTTACATTGGATATGTTCGCCAAGTTTTAGAATATGGTATATCAGCATGGGGGGAACCTGCATAAGCAGTTTGCAGAAAATTACAAATGTACAAAACTTAAACCTTCCAGCTATGACCGGCGGCCTACACTTAACATTAATTGCAACGATGGAAGCAAGGTCAGACTTATAATACACAGAGGACAGGAAGAATTCAAAGATGCTCACCTAAAGCAACCCTAAAATTTTTTTGGCTGTTGTGGTTTTTCCCCAGGCAAACTTACATCCAGTAGTTTTCCATTGCTTTCTGGACGGTCGGCTTCTCAATACCACTGTCGAAACCAGCGCAAGGCCTGCAGCGTAGATTGAAACCGGCACCCCAACATTATGAAGTGCGGTTTCAACGCTATGAGGTTCAGAGGAGGAATCATCATTGAATAGACCAATAGTACCATAAAAGAGTGCAGTTTTTCTGCAGGAAAACACTCACCAATTACGAATGTGAAGCAGTGGATCTGGAGGAGTCAGTATCCTTGTTACTTGATGAAAGCAGCTTGGGTGAAAAGTGGTTATACTGACAGTTGCTTCTTCAAAACCTGATGCTGCAAAGCAGGACAGGGTCTAGAGAAGAGGGAGAAAAATAAGATCCACCACCCCTTAACAAGTGTGTCATAATAGGTAACTAATAAGACTTTGCTGCAATCAGATTTTTTGGAGAGGAAAGGTGCAGATATCGCAGTCTAGCTGTAAACCACAAGGTGGCCACCGCCCTTTTAACAGAAAACACAATAAAAAAACTAAAAACAGTGTATTTACACATGTAGAAAAGGTTAACTTTTGTGCCATTAGGTACTCTGAATAATCATATTATGTGTGATGTTGTAATGTATATTTTTGCTGTGGCCATTCTTTTTCTTTTGATGTGAGTATATATACATATTTTTTACATTGTCAAAATAACAGGTTTGTGCCAAAGGGGAAATAATTCTTCAAGGTTACTACAAACAACCTGACAAAACAAAAGAAGCCATTGACAAAGATGGCTGGCTTCACACTGGAGATGTTGGCACATGGCTTCCGGTACAGTATTATATTTTTCTTTTGACCTTTCATGTCATAACAGGCTATTCAGTATGAAGACTCATATGAAGTGAAGATTTTACACCTTCATTCCACATCTGTCACATGTGCAGAAATGTATTCCATGAGAAGATAATGAAAGGGTTTTCTCTTGTCTTCTATATTCAGTTTGGTAGTTTTAGCCCTATTCTTGTCACAGAAACTTTCGTTTCCTTAGTCAGGATAAATGTAATCGTTCTTTAACCATTGAATATCAGGCCTCCAGGACGTCTGCTTGCTCTCTCTCTCTCTCTCTCTCTCTCTCTCTCTCTCTCTCTCTCTCTCTCTCTCTCTCTCTCTCTCTCTCTTTTTTTTTTCTTTTTCTCTTTCTTTCTCTTTCTCTTGTATGTCTTCCTCTACCACTATGAAATGATGTTGATAGACAGGTAGAGACTTTGATGTTGTTATTTCTTACACTCTTCTTTTCTGTGCTTGCTTTTGAAGACTGCCATTTGGTAAGATTGTGTCTATGCTTCATATTTGGATTACCATCCAATATTTCATTAGAATTCACAATAGGAGACAACTTTAAGCTCAATGAAAAATTACTAGTGTGTTACTTTGCCGAAAGCGGGTTAAAGTAAAAATTTTGAGATCATGCATCTTTCCTGTGGCAACTTATGGATGTGAATCGTAGACTCTTACTCAATCATTGAAGAAAACATTTGAAGCTTTTGAACTGAAATGCTGCCGAAAAATTCTTACAATATCATGGACCTAGAAGAAGAAAAACACTGGCATCCTACGAGATCATGAGGAGAATTGGCTCATAAACAGCATCCTGTCCTGAAAGCTGAGGTATTTGGCCATCTTGATCATCATAGCGGCCATAAGAGAATGGTTATGGAGAATACAGTTTGTAGAAAATAAGGCAGGGGCAGACCTCTGCAAAGGTGGATGCAAGACACTGAAGATGCATTGGCTATAAAAAGCACATATGGCTGGAGAGTTGGCTTGAGAGGGAGAAACTTTTAGGCATGCTGTTATAAGAGTGATATTCTGTAAAGGAGCTGCTGACTGATGATGATATCTTGCCTTCAGAAAGTCAAAAAATAGTAAAAGTAAGAAGTAAAGATCCCTTTAAACTCCTTTAGGCGCATCGGGCATATGGGAAGAGCACCAATATTTCAACAGACCAATCGGCACTCGGTGGGTAATGTGGTCAGCATTACGCCGGCTGTCTTTACTTCCCCAGGACAGCCATCCTGGTACCCATTTGAGGCTGGGTCGACCTGCGACGTCCCATTCCACGATAAAAATCCAAGTAAAAAAATACAATATACATTATGCTAATCTATAAGTTAGAATATCTGGCTAGATGTACTTTCTTTAGTAAACTCAGTCTAAAATCAAATTATAACACACTGTATCCTAATTGATACACACAGACAAAAAATGACCACATATGTCCACATTTTGAAATATATTTTGTTTCTGGTGTTATCCTTTTTTTTTTTATTTCAAACTAATTGTAGTAAGAAAATAGTTGCAAGAATATTTTTAGAGCAATCCCAAATGATACTGTGTTATTTTACCATCACCATCTACTTCTATCCAACACACCATCTGTTTGTTGTATTCCACAGAACGGTACCCTGAAAATTGTTGATCGAATCAAGCACATCTTTAAACTCTCTCAGGTAAAGCTAGCTATCATCACATGTAATTATATCTGCTGAGGCAAATTGAATTGCATTGTCCAGTTCTCCTAAAATGCCACTTGTCCAACTTGCCTATCGTGACCTGTTTACAAGATATGTAGTTAATGTATTTGGCTGAGTTTGCACCTGCGTAAACATTTAGGAGGTCAGGATATGAATAAATTAAATAACAATTTAGAGGGGTTTTACTTTGTGCTAAAGGCCTTTTTTTTAAAGCCAAGATGATGTCAGATTTTCTCATAAGCCTCAGTGGTAAAGGTCATGGGATAATAGTATGAGTCATTCGATATGAGTGTGTTTTTTTAAGCCCTAGGGGATGTATTTAATTTAATGCTTCACCCCGTTCATGTTTATTGATAACCACTTTCATAAATTTTTTATAAAGATTTCTTTACACATCTCTCTGTGGCAGTAAGGTACCAGGGCATTCTCGTCAGTTAGGTAACCAAACTATCTCAACTGTTGTTCTATACTGAATTGTGTGACTGTTTTTAGTCTTATAATTTTCTTAACTTTTAATTTTCTTGTTACTTTTGCAACGTTTCTAAGACATCGTAAGTCTTTTTTATGTTGCTTCAAATAATAGATTTTAAATTTGTTTTGCTATTATGTAAATTTTAAGCCACCAATATATATAAATTTATATATGTCTGCGAGCCCTATGTAACATATAATGACACAACAGGATAATGAATGAACTATATGTTGAGTGTGTCTGAAAGCGTGAAAAAGGGTCTTTTACATGGAAAAGGGTGTTATAAAATGTAAATAATATAATCATGTCTTTTAGACACTTTTATATTGTGGCTGTGCATCTTCATATATATATATATATATATATATATATATATATATATATATATATATATATATATATATTATATATATATATATAATTTACTTTGCTAGGGAGAGTACATTGCGGTCGGCATGATTTTGTCCACATCACTCATCGAGTGCCAGTTGGTGCATAACAGTGGTTCTCAACCTATGGGCCGCGACCCTTTTTTGGGTTGAATTACCCTTTCACAGGGTCGCCAAAGACCATCACAAAACACATTTTCAATGAAGTAGCAACAAAAATAATTGTATGGTTGAGGGTCGCTACAACATGAGGAACTGAATTAAAGGGTCGGGCATTAAGAAAGTTGAGAGCCAGTGGTCTATAATATACAGGTCTAGCACTATATGCCCAACTGTTATGTAGTTTTAAAACCAAGTTACTTATTTTCAGTTGTAATGTTATTGCAGTTTTAACATATGCAAGTGAAAATTGAAAGACATGGAACGAAAGTTAAATGCATTCTAAAACAAATGTCTAAGAAAAATGATGAAAATAAAATGGGATGAATTCAAAAGGAGGGAAAAATAAGAGAAATGTCTGGGCAACCACTAATATCAACAGTTATAAGACAGAGAAGATGGCGCTACACTGGACACATCCTAAAACAAAACCAGCAGAGAATCACCAAACAGGCGTTAAAATGGGAAATAAGGGATTTAGGAGATGAGGACGCCAAAAAAGAAACCCTGAGCTGAATGTTGATGAGAGAAGCCAAAGCTGCTGGACTGGATTCCTTTCCTGATATTGCACCGATTACACGGGATAGAATGAAATAGAGAATGAGACTGTGAGCCCTGTGTGACATATAATGGCACAACAGGAAAATGAATGAACTAAATGCCCAATGTGCCCGAAGGCGTGAAGAAGGGTCCTTTTACTGTGTAAATAATATAATCATGTCTTTCAGACACTTTTATATTGTGCTGTGCATCTTCACATATATACTGTGCAACTTATTTACTTTGTTAGGGAGAGTACATTGCCCCTGAAAAGATTGAGAATGTGTTACAGAGCCAGTCCTTTTATTTGCTCAATGCTTTGTTGATGGAGACAGTTTAAAGGTAATGATGCATTTCTATTTCTTTTTACCGCAGATGTTTTAGCTCCTGTGAAACAGAACAAAACTAACTTAAACGGATTTTATTTGTGGAGATTTAATTTGATTCTTTGCCACTCCCTTTTGCTGTTCATTAAAAAAGTCGTTGCATAATGTTCTAAATTAACCTCAGCTTTCATTGGTTGTTCTTGGTTTTACTATGCAGTTATACATTTGCCATACCTTTCTACATGGTTGAATGACTGACACTCAGTACCGTGGTTGAAATCAACGCAAAGCCATTTGCTGCCAGATCACCTGCAGTTAAATTAGTATTTAGGTTGTGAACTGTTTTAATAACAGGTTAGCCACAGTCGCTGACTGTTTCATTATAAACTGTCTCTGTTCTAAACTGAACATTGGCTGTCAGAGAGAGACATCCACAGAACACTATTTAGGAGTCCCAACAAGATCTCAGATACAGCATCATGCATCAGATTAAACCAGATTTCTTGGGTAAACATCAAAAGAACATTGAACAAGAATAATCCCAATAAGGGGTCTCCGGACTTCATTTTTGTGTAAGTTGAAAATAATATTTAAAAAAAAGAAAAAAGACTCCATACCCCTTAACATTATTAACAGTTTTCTTATTAAGGGTATTTCAAAATCACATTTGATGGGCTGAAATGCACAGATATCACGGTCTAGCTGTATACCACAAAAATGTGCCAACTATGCATTTTAGGGTTAACCACGGAAATGAGATGTCTGAGAAGAGCTGTAGGAGTGACCATAAGAGATAAGATCAGGAATGAGATCATAAGAGAACAAGTCGGCACAGAACCAATTCTGGATTACATACAAAGTCAGCAAGTGAAATGGTTTGCCCACTTAGAGAGAATGCCTTGTGACACCATACCATACAAAGCATACATGGAAAGAGAAGGACGTAGAGCACGGGGTAGACCAAGAACAAGATGGAAGGATAACATCAGAGAAACTCTACAACAGCACGATGTGCCTATGGTCGAGGCAGCCAGAAGAGCTAGAAACAGAACCTTATATCTCCCTCGACACCCACAGCGGTAAAAGAGGAAGTGAAGAAGAAGAGAAGAAGAGAAGCAGAAGAGTAGAATATGAATTATTTTTAATTTTTCCTTTGTTTTTTGTGTGTGTGTGTGTTAACTGAGTGAAATGTATACATAAATTGTGTGAAATAATCCTTATCTGTCTTCAGCAGATCTTACCTGCCAATCCTCTTCTCATTTTGTTACTTTATTATTTTGTGTCTGTGGGTCATTTACTGCTGTAAGAATATAAAAAGTTCTATTGAATTTGCGGAAGTTGAAATAAGTTTAATCTAGTGCTTGATTTAGAATATTTAAAATAAGTCAAAATTATTGGTGTTTATCAATCAAAAATAGGGGTGTGTATCAGTCAAAAGTAGGGATGTTTATCATTCAAAAATAGGGGTGTGTATCAGTCAAAAGTAGGGGCGTTTATCATTCAAAAATAGGGGTGTGTATCAGTCAAAAGTAGGGGTGTTTATAAAAAATAGGGATGTTTGCTATCAAGCTATGCCCACACACACATGCACTAAATTAAAAAAACATTTAAAAAATATTCACCACGGAAATCTGTAGTATTTGAGAACTCGAAACTGTTAAACGCATTCACTAACCTCTAAGCCACAATCTTTATCAACAAACAGTAAAATAAGAATACTTAGATATAAAGTGCGGTGACCTGCCAGCCCGAAAGTCTTGGATTCTAATCCACATCAAACCAAATTAAAAAATTTTTTTTTTCTTTTAACCGTTTCCCAGGTGGACCTAGCCTCAAAATGGGTGCCACAGCTAGAATATTCTTTGTCTAGAATCTCAGGTTCTCAGGTTAGACGGAGACCTAAACCTCGTGTAGAAGAGCATTAATGACAGTGTATGAGGGGGAACATGATAGAGACTGTGAGAGATAGTAAAGGACAAGGCAAGAACAGAATAGTAACACTGTAACCTTCCATGCATGTCGTACAAATCAGCTAAAGAGACTGACTTCCTTAGTCTGTTTATGTGTATTTATGAATGTGTGAAAGTATGTATGTGTGTGCGTATGTGTGTTTGTGTGTGTGTAGCATATATGTGTGCATGTAAATATGTATATCTATATGTCTGTATGCATGTATGAATGTAAGATGAACCTCTTAAAGTTTTGCAACAAGACCAAAGTCCAGAAGTGGATGAAAAACAACAGCATTCTGCCAGGGTTTGCAGCCTGTAAACGCTAAAAAGAAGAATACTTTACAGTCAACTATGTATATAAACTACTTTATTAGACATTGCTCAGTAAGTTGTCTGAAATTCTTAAATGAATTGTTTGAATTCCAAATTTTTGGATTTATTTTCAGTCTCATATCATGGCTGTAGTTGTACCAGATGTTATTTATCTCAACAAGTGGGCACCAAATAATGGCTTCCCCACTGATATTAAGGAGTTCTGTCAACATAAGGTCAGTATCCTCATAATAATATAACTAGAAATGGATAATAATGTAAGTTGAATGACCTAGGACTGGAACATACAGGGACAAGAAATCGAGGGAGACTAAACAAAATGGTAAAGAGAGTTAAAGACTACTGAATAAATTGTGAAAGCATGGGGTGAGCTGTCTGTATACTAGGGCAAAGAATAGGATTGTCTGGTGAAAGTTGGTTGAGGATCTGATCTCTGTTGGGGGAGAAAGGGCAGAAGTAGAAAGTAAGATATACAACTGATTACCATGGACATTGTGTGACTCTGTCATTAGGTAAGAAAATAGGGGCTTTTGAGCTGAAGTGCTATAAAAAGATTCTGAAAGTACCCTGGACCAAGAAATGAAGAAATATGATGTATGTGAACATCAAGCAGTGGAGCCATCTTCAATCATAACTGTCCCCCAGTGGTGTAGCTCCTATAAGCATAACTGTCCCCCAGTGTTGTAGCTCCTATAAGCATAACTGTCCCCCAGTGTTGTAGTTCCTATAAGCATAACTGTCCCCCAGTAGTGTAGTTCCTTTAAACATAACTGTCCCCTAGTGGTGTAGCTCCTATAAGCATAACTGTCCCCCAGTGGTGTAGCTCCTATAAGCATAACTGTTCCCCAGTGGTGTAGCTCCTATAAGCATAACTGTCCCCCAGTGGTGTAGCTCCTATAAGCATAACTGTCCCCCAGTGGTGTAGCTCCTATAAGCATAACTGTCCCCCAGTGGTGTAGCTCCTATAAGCATAACTGTCCCCCAGTGGTGTAGCTCCTATAAGCATAACTGTCCCCCAGTGGTGTAGCTCCTATAAGCAAACTGTCCCCCAAGAGGTTGTAGCCCTATAAGAATAACTGTTCCCCAGTGGTGTAGCTCCTATAAGCATAACTGTCCCCCAGTGGTGTAGCTCCTATAAGCATAACTGTCCCCCAGAGTGTGTAGCATAACCTGTCCCCCCAGTATAGCATAACTGCCCCCAGTAGTGTAGCGCCTTTAAACATAAACTGTCACACCAGTGAGCGTTCTGTAGCTCCTATAAAGCATAACGTCCCCTAGTGGTGTGTAAGCTCCTTTAAGTATACTGTCCCCTATTGGTGTAGCTCCTATTAAGCAAACTGTTCCCCAGTGGTGTAGCTCCTTTAAGCATAACTGTCCCCTAGTGGTGTAGCTCTCTTAAGCATAAACTGTCCACCAGTGGTTGTAGCAACCCTGAACAATGCATAACTGTTCCCCTAGTGGTTTGTAGCTCCTATAAAGCATAAACTGTCCACCCCCAGTGTTGTCGCAACCTAAAAGCTATACTGTCCCCTAGTGGTGTTGTAGCCCTATAAGCATAAACTGTCCCCCCCCCCAGTAGTTGTAGCTCCTATAAACATAACTGTCCACCAGTGATGTAGCGCCTATAAGCATAGATACTGTCCCACAGTGATGTAGCTCCTAGAAGCTAAAACTGTTTCCCAGTGGTGTAGCTCCTATAAAGCATACTGGTCCTCATAGTGGTGTAGCCACTGAAAGCATAATGTTACCCAGATGCGTGTGTAGCCACCTGAAAGCATAACTGTCCCCTAGTGGTGTAGATTCATTATAAGCATAACTTGTACCCCAGTGGTGTAGTTCCTATAAGCCTAACTGTCACCCCGTGGGGTTAGCTCCTATAAGCATAACTGTCCCACAGTGGGGTTAGCTCCTATAAGCATAACGTCCCCCCAGTGTGTGGAGCTCCATAAGCATACAACAGTCCCCAGTGGTGTAGCTCCTATAAGCATAACTGTGCACCAGTGGGTGTAGTTCACTATAAGCAGAACTGTCACCCAGTGATGTAGCTCCATAAGCATAACTGTCCCCTAGTGGTGTAGCTCCTATAAGCATAACTGTCCCCCAGTGGTGTAGCTCCTATAAGCATAACTGTCCCCCTGTGGTGTAGCCACCTGAAAGCATAACTGTTCCCCAGTGGTGTAGTTCCTATAAGCATAACTGTTCCCCAGTGGTGTAGTTCCTATAAGCATAACTGTCCCCCAGTGGTGTAGCTCCTATAAGCATAACAGTCCCCCAGTGGTGTAGCTCCTATAAGCATAACTGTTCCCCAGTGGTGTAGTTCCTATAAGCATAACTGTCACCCAGTGATGTAGCTCCTATAAGCATAACTGTCCCCTAGTGGTGTAGCTCCTATAAGCATAACTGTCCCCCAGTGGTGGTAGATCCTATAAGCATGAACTGTCCCTCACAGTGTGGTTGTAGCCATCCTATAAGATTCTGTACCCCAGAGGTGTAGCTCCTATATAAGCATAACCTGTTGCCCCAGAGGTGTAGCTCCTATAAGCATAACTGTCCCACAGTTGGTGTAGCTCAACACTATAAGCATAACTGTCCCCCAGTGGTGTAGCTCCTATAAGCATAACTGTCCCCCAGTGGTGTAGCCGTCTACAAGCAGAAGAACTGTTTTCAATTGCTAGAGCCATCTCCAAGAAGAAAAGCTGTCTGCAAGCTGTCCTTTTTTCATACTCTGAGGCTTATGGGACATATAGTACTACTATCAGATTGTTATGGCACATCTGATGTTTGGTGTGTGATGTGGGCCAGTAAGATGCCATCACACCTTTACTTCTTATCACAGTTTCTGGTACCTGTTCTGTTATTGTCAAACTGGGAATCCAAGTCAATTTTTAAATTCCACCTAGATGTGATTTTCAAAAAGAGACATTGAATATTTGAGAAGGTGGACACTGCTCTTCTCATCCAGCAGCTTCTGCAGCATGCTTTGTTCCGAATATATTGGTGTTACTTTTTCTTTGGAGTTAACAAGGCAGACCGAAAGAGAGATGATGCATTGGCAACACATGGTCTCTACAGTACTGTGCATGCTTTCTGCTATGGAGAGGGCCTGGGGTCTCATGCTGTAATTGTGAACTTTTCTTAACTTGGGTGAGTCTTTCTAGTCCTGCTTGCCATCGCCATTGACTGAAGTTCATGTGCCACCCCACAGAACAGTATAACACTATTGTCTGGAAAGACGGAGAGGTGCCAGCAATGGAAGAATGGGTGTAGTTAGCAGAGACACCTTAGAATGGCTACTGCATTAGAGGATGGAGAACAAGTGGGAATTCCCAATGTGCAGTGACATTTATTCTAATAACATGGCATAGCATTTGAGATCCAGGATTTAATTTCTCTGTCTGAATTTCTTTATCTGTAGTAGTAATTTATTCAACGATATCCTTTCCAACTCTTCTCAGTTATGATTTATGAAGTTCTTTCCTTTCTGATATTGGCTATTTATGTTGTTTTGGTTAATTAATATTGTAAACATTATGCATTAAATTTTAACAAATTGTAAGAGTATAGAAAAGTCGGAACAACAGAAATGAAGTCTGCAGCAAATCCTAAATATAACTTAAAGACATGATCAAAAATGACAATATCAGGAAAGATGTTGGGTTGGACCCGGTATTAAACGGCATCAAGAGACAACAGAACTAGAGTTTACAGCCTGGGAAATGCAAAGAAAAAGAAGGAGGAGGAGGGCTGGACATGTGTCAAGACTACCACCAGACAGTGCATCACAAAGAGCCTTGTCACTTATACATAATGGAGGAAGAGCCATGCCGGCATGGTGCGTAATAAACAGGCAGATATACTGTATCTGCCTCACTGGGTGGTGAATTGATACATGACTAGGCAGATGTGGTGAAGGCCCTTTGGAAACAAGCAACGGAATGAGTAGAGATAGATTATTATTATGGAAGATTATTATGGCCTGGAGATAATGAGGCATCTGGGTGTAACCAGAGGGTCTGGCCGGCTCTCACTACTACTCAACAAAGTCAAAGGCAAAAAAAGACTGACATATATTACCAGATTGTGACCGGTATAACAATTCAGCCGATCAGTATTGGAACTCATGGGAATGCCCGGAGTGCTGTGAAATCAATTCTTGACTCAACTCAGCTCAACTCTGGATAGATGGAATATCTGAGGCTGTAAATACCAGCATCTACATAGCACATACCAAGGCTCTAACCCAATGCTCTTTAAAACCTTATGCTGAAGCGCAATAGAGGAATGAAGAAGAAGAAGAAGATTGAGTTTTATATATTCTAAGTGTACTTGATAAATGGCTGGGTCAATAAGATTGTAATTTATTTTTGGGAGTATTTGAAATGATCTGGAATACTTTTATTTTGCTTTGTGGCATGTTAACACCTCTTTTTTTCCCTGCTGATGTACCATTTAAAACTTTACTGTCTGTCTGTGTTATGTGTAGGTACACATGACTGCATGCACATGCGTGTGCTTCTGTGTGTGTATGCGTGTATGTATTTGTGCATGTACACAAGCACGTGTGTGTGTATGTATTTGTTACAGTCTGTGAGGTCACAGAGCATCATATGCAGACTAAAGTAATTAATTTTTTTTCCCTTATCAGGATGCCCATGACCTGATTATTAATGATATGTTAAAATATGGGCAAGCGGCTGGTCTAAGAGGATTTGAACAGGTAATGCATTTTTGTGTGTGTCCCTCAGATTCCTAAGAAGTCTTAGTTTGCCTCGTTATCTAGCATCCCCCCCCCCCCCCCCCCGCCCCCCCCCCCCCCCCCCCCCCCCCCCCCCCCCCCCCCCCCCCCCCCCCCCCCCCCCCCCCCCCCCCCGCTATATTTATGTTGGTGCTTGGCAGTACTACTTTATCATGTCCTTAGGTTTTCCTCCAACCCATTGGCACTGTTACTTGTCACTTACTTGTAGTCATGTCTGACACTGGGATGGTCCTTCAATGCCAATTGAAGGCCCAGGACTGTCCTGTGTCTTCCTCTCTTGGCCTCTCCCGGGCTCTGTTTCCACTCCAGCTTTCTTTCCTTTCCCCTGTCATGCAAGGACGAAGTATCTAATACTATTTTACATTAATAAGATATACCGAGTTGAGTATACACAATTGTTCATATTCGCTGGCATAGTCCAGACTGGTAATCGTTGTCAGGTCTGCCTACTACAGGAATTACACTCAAACATTAACTAATAAATCACACAATGAAGTCTGGACGAACATGAAATACACAAATCATAATTTGTCGTGGGTTGTTAGCACTAGATACTTCCTCAGCATGACAAGTTGTCGCATGTGGACGGCAAACTATGGATGCTGGTCTTTTGCGTGTGTCTCTTGATGCCTGTATATGCACGATGATTATGATTGATACTATGTCGCCTGCCATCTTTGTAACTCTCTCGTGACCAGGGCTGATGAGACTGATAAACTCAGGCGTGGTTGTAGTACATGTCGCAGACTTTGTACGCAAGCAGTGGATTGAGTCATTGCAAAACTCCACTCTGTATAGACTTACCTTCGTTTTTGTCCCAGAGCATGCTGGTGTTGTTGGCGATGAAAGAACTGACAGATTAGCCGGATCTGCTTTAGTTACCTAGGCTGCCGCATGATTCCCTCGACAGATGTTGTTAACGGAGTGCATTTAGAGAGGTAGGATTGTTTGGAGGAGTTTGCGAGCCAGCCCATCCCCATCTTGCCAAGAGCTGCAAGAGTGGCAGTAACGATCAGCACAGCCAGGATTACGAAAAGTACCACCGGATGCACAAGATGGTCTTGTCAACCAGTCCGGATGCACCCCCCCTCGCCTCATATTTGTTGTTGTGGGGTACATAACCGCGGACAGAGTGGGTACACATGTGTGTGGAGCCACACATTAAGTCACACTGGCGATAGTCACAGTGACACACAACGGCACATTGTGGGGTGGGGAGAGGGGAAAAGGACACAAGGGGCACAGATCACAACCGGGTCACATGGGGTTTGCGCTGGTTGCAGTGAATGGTGCCAACACGGATCGTGGTGACTGGGACTCCACACACTGCCGGGGGGTGCGTGGGTGACAGTGTGTGGCTGCATACTAGATCTTCGTCGATACCACACCAGTCGCTTGACGCACACAGCCCGGCAGCAGTGCCACTGTCTTAGCCGTAGGGGGACCAGGGGGTGGACATCTGCGCAGAGATGGACATTCAAGTATGGGGGGGCGAGGAAAACACGCGGTACCAGCAGCTGAGTTAGCGCTTTGTGGTCATGCCGGTGCGTGTTGTTCGGAACATGGGGGTAAACAAGTCAGTCCCACAGCAAGGGGGGGGCCCACAGGACAGCAGCCCATGGCCATGTTGGGGCAGGGGGTGGGTGGGGTGGGGGGGGGGTGGGTTGGGATATAGACAAGTCGCCGCGTCATGGTAAGAAGAGGGAGGGGATGAGAGGGGGCGAAAAGAAAAAGAAAAAGGGGGGGGGAAAAAAATGGAGAAAAAAAAAAAAAAAAAAGGAGGGGAAGAGGGAAGGAGGAAAGGCGATAGGAGAGTGGGGAGGGGGGGTGGAGGAGGAAGGAAGAAAGGAAAGAAGGGGACGGTGAAGGGAGGCGGAGGAAAAAGGGTAATGGGGTAAGAGGAAAGGGATGTGCCACTGGAGAAGAGAAAGGTGGGAGTTGGAGTGGGGGGGGGCGAGACGAAAAGTAAGTGAATAAGGGAGGGGGGGGGGGGATGGTAAACCAGGTGAGTGTCTGTAGAGCGGCATAGCAATTACAGCCCATGGCAATGGCAAGTGAGATAGACAAGGTCCGCTCATTTAAGAAGTCTTCTACAATTAAAGAATAGGATTTCAGGACTGTTGTTGCCATCACATGTATTTAGTATGCTTCTTCTCAGAGGCTCAGCTCTCAGCCTTTCTGCAAATATCCCCCTCCCCCTTTATTCTTTTTTCCTTCCTGATTTTCCCACTCAACACAAAACTGTATTTTGTCCTATGAATATACCTCAAAACCTGTATTATTCCTGTCCCATTTGCACACATCTTGAGATCATAATAGAAGCTGACTTCAACATCTTCTGCCCATCTGTAATTCACCTTAGAGGATGCTCTTGGACACTGTCATTCTCCGATCTCCAAGTGCAGCTCAGCCACCATAGGATCACTGTGTTAGGAAATTTTCACTAACCACTTAAACACTGTGTGAACCAGGGTATTGAAATGGTTGACGTGCTTCCTTCTGGCCTGCTGGTAATATTTTCAAATCCCCTTAGGGAAAGGAATTTTCAAAAATTCAGAAGATCTAAGCTTCAAATCTGTATTGAGGCAGATTTTCTGTATAAAATAATTTTGGCTTCCAACCTAAAGTGGGTACCATATAATACTGGGAAGTAAAGGCGACCATATCACCCATCAAGTGCTTGCTAATCCCCATGTAGATACCTGGGAACCATTGTGGAGAAGAAGGGTGGGAGGTTGAATAGACCCAACCCACTCCTCCCCCCACCTTAAGCATGTCTTAAGAGGCAACTGTGGGTGCTCCCTTCAAAGTCGGAGTGCATCTTCCTGAGAGTTGAGTCTGCATAAGCCAGATCTCTAAAATGAATGTGCACACAAAACTCAAGTTCTATAACAAGACCAAAGCCCAAAAGGGGACGAACAACCAGAACTTTACACCATAGTTTACAGTCAGGAAATGCAAAGAAGAAGAAAAAGGAGGAATGCTGATTAAGTCTCTACAAATGTGTCTAGCATCTGATGGGCCTCTGGTACCTTTACCTACTTTTACTTTTCTCCACCTTGGCTGCAGTTAATCACAAGAAAATTTGTGTTTGATGCCTTCTGTCGTCAGGTCAAGGACATCCTTCTGGAACCCAGCCTGTTCTCTGTTGACAGCGGACTTCTCACACCAACTCTAAAAAACAAGAGACCACAGCTTCGGGCAGCCTTTAAGGAGAAGATTCAGGCACTTTATGCAAAATGTGGTTTGTGATAGAGACATCCGTCACCTGCTGTACACTCCATTCTATCTCAGTTTTCAAGCAATATTTATAAAAATATTAAGCAGATGTGTGCCCAATTTATATTTCACAACTGGGTACAGATTAAAATATGGTGTTTTATTATTTAAGCAGCATGTAACACCTTATTTGATATTATCATCTAGAGCATTATTTTTAGTCTGTTTTATACATAATTTATTTTCTTGTATCTGTTTATGTCTTTACTTGTGTGCAGGTTAATATAGGTATTTTGATTGGGCAGTGTTGTAGTTGAGGGGCATTCAAGAAAGTAAATTTCTTCTCACAAACCGTTTGAGCAAAATGTTTGAAATCCACTTAAAATAAAATACAAAATGACCATTGCGCATTCTAGTTTTCTGTATAATCTCTTTCTTCTTTGATGACCTTACCCTGGCATGAAACTGTTTGCCTGGCCATTTCTTCACAGAATGAAAAGTATCCTCAAATTCATGTGTTTTTCTTTTCCTAATCTTTAACTCTCTAAACCCATCGACTAATGGTGCTCCTATTGACTTCCCAATTTCCATACACAGTACACAAACATTTAGCAATGTTCGCAAGTATATTTTTCTGAAACAAGAAATTCAGTATCAATTTGTAATGCACATTTTTCCTTGCATGGGATATTAACTGATTAGTACAACTTTTCTTTATGTCGGAATAAGGTACTGTTTTGCATATACAATACGGACATTTCATATTTCAAGTGTACCAGTCTCATCTTTCTATCTTCGTTATGCTGTGGGTAAAAAAAAAAAAAAAAGTTATGCGGAACTTTCTGAATGTCCCTCATATAATAACTAGTTCTTTCACCTTCTTGAGCTGGTTCCAGAACTTCTGTAGAAAGCAAATTTATTAATTATGTGATTTGTAATCAATCTAGCTTCATTAGTTGAATAGTGTAATCTTCTAGTCAATTGGTCTGGTACATCTTTTAGTAAGACTGCTTGACCAGGAAGATAGGGACAGACCATCAAGTTTTGAGATATGCTGCAGTAGCATGGAAATAACTCTTTATCTTGAATAGTATAATGATGGAGAGCTTTGTTTGCCATTTTGTTTGTGTAAGTTATTTTTGTTTTTGGAGTATTACAAAGCATTATAGTGTTATTATTTTGTTGAATCCTTACAGTCCAGAGCAACTACTGCATAATGTAACTACTACTTCATTTTTTTCCACTTCACTTCTCTTCTTTTTCATCTTGTCCTCCTTTCATCTCCTCCCTTTCTTCTGCTGCTGCTGCTACTCCTGGTTTGTTTTATTTATTATGTCTGATAATAACTACATCTCCCTTCTCTGAGATAAGAGGGCAGCTGAGATATATGTGTTTTTTTACAAATTAACTTTCAGTTAATATGGATGTTGCTGTTGATGGGCTGGAAATCGCTATGTTGCCTGCAGGCTGCTCTGACATCAAAAGAGATATGTCAGTAATAGAGCTTCTTTTATTCAGCATTTGAGTGAGTGTGTGCATGCAGGCATGTATGTAGTGGGAGGAGGAAGGGGCTTCAGGGCAACCTGTCTCAACTGTATTCTTTTCACCTTGAGGAGACTAAATCTAGTCACTTCCAGTTGTGACACGGCCCTATTAGTGCTGATATATTGGCATGTACACAGTGATCTGTTCTTGAAAAGCAGTTAAATTCCATTGGTTCTATATGCACCTGCCAGTGTTTAGTAGGCCAGGATATGAATATAGTAACTAAAAGTAGCAGTTAGGATGGTTTCCTTATGATCACAATGACCTGTTTAAAGCCAAGCTGATGTCAAATGTTCCTGTAAGCCTCACTGATAGAGGTCACTCTGTTGATATATTGATTACCCCTTTATTATGTTTATATATTTTAAAAAAAATTTAAAATGTAGATAAATTTAAAAAAAAATATTAAAAATGTATTTGTGACCTGTGTAATAATGAGCATCTACACATTAAGACATTTGCTGTAAGAGGTGAAGCATCTTTGGGTATGCCCTGTGTGCTATGATGTCGTTTCTTTAATCAGTAATCAGTAAAATGGTTGGTCTTTAAATTATTTAAATCTTTTTACCAGGAATTCCCAGGGGCTCTTGGCCTATTTTCTTTTTAGCAATTACAGGACAAAAGGCCTAATGCCCTTAAAAATGATCAAGCTAAAGAACTCCCCGCATAAAAATATTGCATATATCTACTGGCATGTCAGTTGAGTCAGTCATTTGTAGTAAAAGTCTTGCCTTTTGGTCATTGTAATTATGTTCTTAGAAAAGTATTTATATGTTTGTATATGTGTGCACACACATGTTTTAAAAAAAATGTACATTGTACGGTTTAGCTTAGTCTACGCTTTGTTGTTGTCGCTGTCATATGAACTGTTTAGTGATAACTGGAGAGAAACATAGATAGCAGTCAGTTCTAATGAGACAGATGTTCTGATGTGTAAGAGAATCTGTTCTGATGTGTAAGAAAATAATTGACTTTGGATCATGTATCATTCATATGTGTTCACATTTCTTCCAGTTGTCTAGTGTCTGCTTTTTCTCCCCCTCCAAAACTCTTTTTTTTAAAAATTTGTTTGACAATTTGTCTCTTTTCTATTTGTTCTCTCCCCCCCCCTCCCCCTCCCCCCCCCCCCCCCCTTTCCGGTCTAGACCTGAACCAACTCCTGCCATCATTCTATCTGTCGCTATCGCACGCAGCTCACCACAAATCTTCCCCATTTTTAACTTCATACTCTAGCTCCCTTCCCCATATTTTTTCCTTTTTTTTTCTGTCTTTATTTCTATGATCCTGTGGATTCCAGAATAGAGACATTCTAGAAAAAAATTTTCACAAATGTTTTCAAAGGATGTTTTCCAGCACTAGGATCTTTTTTTTCACACCTCTTGATCCACTGGAATAGTTCTCTCCAAAAAAGCTCCACATTAGTGATTCTATCATACCATTTAATTCCCTCTATTATATGCATTCACCAATTAATGAATAAATGTAGTTTATTTGCAGTTGTTTTAGTTGGGCTCTCCATGTTTCAACTCCATAAAGTAATATTGAGTTTGACAATCAGTTACTTTAAAAAAGAAAAAAGTTATCCTGGACTGTAGAGTTCAACTGTTTACCAAAATCTTGCCATACATATTGAGCTGCTGTTTTGGTTTACTGGTAGTTGTGAGACAAAGGTGGCTTGCTCTGATGCAGACTTCATGTAGGTCTTGTTGTTTACTGATATATGTGTTTTGTGGGGTATATCATAAACAGAAAAACCAAACATCTCCTTGATATCTCAAGATGGTACTTTACAGAAAAATGCTTCAGATTCCTTGAATATCCAAAGTTAGTAATCTGGGTGTTTTGAAAGGGGCTAAAACCTAAAAGCAGCTTATCACCAACATGAGAAAGAGGCACATTATAAGAAGAGCAAAAATGTAGCTTGCGGTGACAACTAGAAAAAAAAATTATTGAAAGAGATACAGAGACAGTCAAAACAAACTTTTGTCATGGCATGGAAGAGTATCAGAAGATGAACTAACTAATGCATGCTATTGAGATGGCAACGTATGGAGAAGCAAGGCACTTGATGATGATATCATATACCCAGTATATAAAGATTATGATTATTCTTTGCCCATGACCATAACTCAAAGGATTGTTCATGACAGATATCTGGTGAATGATACAGAAACACCTGTTTAAGATTTCCAAACAAGACAACTTGAATTAAGATTCTATAGTCTGTAATAAGTGGGGTCATTATAAAACATCATTCTGATTTCTTCTACAGTAGGATATTATAACAGACAGCAGAGACAAAAATACTGGTTTGTAAAGGACACCAGGCTGTGCTAAAGTTTGAAAATAGAGATGTTTGCAGTTGAAGTAATGTTGGCACCTTTCCTCTTTCCAGAAGATAGTGTTATATTGTGCTTTAGGGAGGTTTAGGAATCATGGGCCATGGGTTTTTACAACCGGGATAACTTTCCTCATCTCCTAGTTCAAAGCCTGGGCAGTATTATAGAGACCATGAATTGCCCACACAGCATGATCCCTCTCTCAGCCCACCTTCTTTACTACAAGGGAAATGTAACACTAGTATGTTTAAAATAAATAAATCAGGTGCTGTGCTGAGTCAGAAGAGCGGTGCTCAGCTGATGACTGGAATTGAGCTGATACCAAAAACATATTCACAATAATATAAAATATGACAAGGAAACTCAGGGAAGGGAAATGAATTGTGTATAGATATAACCAAGATTTTGTGAACTAATAAAACAAGAATCTTACACTACAACAATGAATTATTACAAAAACACAGACAGGTAACCCACATGATTCCTAAAAAAAAAAAAAAATAGAGGGAGCCCTTCTTGCTTTAAGAGCTATACTTTGAAGCTATAGAATTGAGGTTCAAAATTCATATTTTTGAACTGCCTCTAATTACTGGCATCATGAGGGCTAACAAACTTAGCTGGAGCATATAGAGAGTATGCCAGATAACAGACAAAAACCGCATAAACAACATTTGAATGCGAGCTGACCATAAGGCAGACCAAGAAGAAAAGAAGGAAAAACAAGGTGGGGGAAGGGGGATATACAAACCTAAAAATACTTGGAGTTAATCAGCGTGGCAGAGGTCAGTCAGAGAGATTAATGCAGGTTAGTGGTGTATATATAACAATAAACCTCACAGGCTTGAAATGCTGAAGAAGGTGTGCTGAGTATGTGTGCTATTTTCATGGAAAGAGAAGGTAAGATGCTTACATCTAAAATTAAAACATATCTTGTGGGCTTAAGAAACTTGAAAGAAAAGAAGCCCACAAATTATACGCTTGAAGCTGACACATTTTTAACTAATAAGGCTGATAAAGAACAAATATTTTCTATTCATTCCATTTGAGAACTAGTTTTTACATCTTTTACTAGTGTTCATCTTTTGAACTTTAGAAAGTGCACTTTTAGGTAGTGATCCATGATATAAGGAGCTGTAGATATTTTACTAA